TTTACTTTCCACTGTGCACAAAGAGGTCAAATAAGGAGTAAACACATGAGACAGAAGTACTTTAAAATCTCTGTCATCTTTAGGATTTTGTTTCTCTCGCCATTTTTATGTCAGTATTGTCAGTATTGGTTTAAAGACAAGTGATAACGAGAAATATGGAATGTTGCAGATAAAAAAGGTATATGACAAAACTAGTGTAAAATCAATATTTTTATAATCTATCTTCATCGTTAAAAATACACCGATCAAGATCTTAAAGAACACATTTGAGGTTTACAGTAGTATTATTTTAAAATACACTATGTGTGACGAAGAATTCTATATTAGAATAACAGTAATCATTAACAAGCAACATTATTATATTAGCTGAAAAAAATCTATATTCGCAAGTCTTAAATATGTCAGTATAGGTCTACTCGGCTCTCCACGTAGATGTCATAGTACTAGTACATGCCTGTGCGTTGTGAATGGATCATTTTTTGTACACTTATTAATTGATTGTTTATGTTCATTCCTCGTCAATATGTTATAGATTGTCAAAGCGGGAACGACATTTATACGTGGCTATGTGTATTAGAGTATTTGATAGGCGAATTATCTAGCGCTGTTCATCAAGGTCTCGATCGGCACGCTTAACCGATATTTAAAAAAAGTTCTTGTCATTTATGTTCCTGACAGTTAATGTGTTAAAAATGTTATACAACAAAACTTCACAAAATCGGTTTTCATGAATTCCATAGGTACACAATTGGCTAAAACTTCCTTTGCAAAATGTCTTCAAGGGTTGACCAAAGCTCACAGTATCGCTAATTCTTGTCCGAATTTGAACTTCCAAGGGAATGTTAAACATCAACTTTGGTTTTGGTGGATATGCTGATATGGTTACATTGTCCAAATTCCAATCCTATCTCAAAATCGGTGAAACGAAAATATGAACAAAGGAAAATTTACTGAGAGATCAAAGAAAAAGTATTAGGGTGATAAGACAAGGTATTCCGGAAGCGTAAGCGTTTCCAGGTTCATTGACGTCACCACTCATGTAAATCTTAAACAATCAACTTCAAGTTAGTAATGCCACGCTTTTAAATGAGATTTAGGTACAAGGGCACCGAACATCGAGAATCTCACCATAGTCTTTGTAAACCCACAACTTTAGAAACACAATTTGCATGGATATCGTGATATTAGGAACATGTCCCTAAATCAAGATATAGAATTAACCGTGACGTAAAAACGGCGTATGCTGTAGAGCATTCCTTACTATCTAGAAATTGGAAAATTAGAAAAGTCTGTTGTATCCAGTTCTAGTGGATATATACAATCGGCAAGTCAGTGATATTGTTATCTTTTAAAGACATTATGAATATATCTAAAAGTAAAATAGAAGGACTAGGCAAGGCCATTTTTACCTGTTTAGTTCAACAACAAAAAAGGGAAGCCAAGACGGGACAAAGTTTCCATAGGTATACAGGTAGCCCAGTATATATTTCATTGACACAAATTACACAAAGTTCAAACACTTATATTGTCGTTATTTTCAGCATAAAACAGACAGTCTATTCCATAAAGTCCTTTGTACGAAGTACTATGGCTTATGCATTCGTAAGCACATAAAACATTTTGCTTTCCGTTCAGCCTTCGTGTGCTCCGAGTATTCCTTATACTTTATACAGCTTGTGCTCAACTGTACTCAACCCTACCTATATCTACGTCTGTACTCCAAACAATTATCACCCTACACAACTTGTACCCAACTCTGCCAACATATACCTTTATACTCCAAATAATCGCCAACTTTATATACAACCTGTACTCAACTCCGCTCGTGTCTACGTCTGTACTCCAACAAATTATTACCTTCTACAACCTGTACTCAACTCTGCCGACATATACTTTTATACTCAAAATAATCGTCACCTTATACAACCTGTACTTAGCTCTGTCGACATATACTTCTACATTCAAAATAATCGTCACCTTATACAACCTGTACTCAACCCTGCCGACATATAATTCTACATCCCAAATAATTGTCACCTTCTACAACTGTGCTCAACTCTGCCGACATGTAATTCTACATCCCAAATAATTGTCACCTTATACAACCTGTACTCGACTCTGCCGACATATACTTCTACAACCCAAATAATCGTCAGCTTATACAACCTGTACTCGACTCTGCCGACATATACTTCTATACACAAAATGATCGTCACCTTCTACAACATGTACTCGACTCTGCCGACATATACTTCTATACTCAAATAATCGTCACCTTATACAACTGTGCTCAACTCTGCCGACATATACTTCTATACACAAAATGATCGTCATCTTCTACAACATGTACTCCACTCTGCCGACATATACTTCTATACACAAAATGATCGTCACCTTCTACAAACTGTATTCGACTCTGCCGACATATACTTCTATACTCAAAATAATCGTCACCTTCTACAACCTGTACTCAACGCTGTCGACATATACTTCTATACCCCAAATAACCGTCACCTTATACAACCTGTACTCAACTCTGCCGACATATACTTCTATACTCAAAATAATCGTCACCTTCTACAACCTGTACTCAACTCTGCCGACATATACTTCTATACTCAAAATAATCGTCACCTTCTACAACCTGTACTCGATTCTGCCAACATATACTTCTACAACCCAAATAATCGTCAGCTTATACAACCTGTACTCAACTCTGCCGACATATACTTCTATACTCAAATAATCGTCACCTTATACAACTGTGCTCAACTCTGCCGACATATACTTCTACAACCCAAATAATCGTCAGCTTATACAACATGTAATCAACTCTGTCGACATATACTTCTATACACAAAATGATCGTCACCTTATACAACCTGTACTCAACTCTGCCGATATTGCTTCTACACCCCAAATAATCGTCACCTTATTAGATGTACTTTATAATTGACCAATTTTCTGCATATATATTTGAAGGTAGTCAACCTTTATTCGACTATTTGTTATTCCTTAATAAAAAAAACAAAAAACAAAAAACAAAAACAAAACAAAATCAACAGGAAACACAAGTGTTTCTATCTGGTATACTTAAGTGCCTCACTATACCTTTAAATACATATTCTTATGTTCATAACAATATCATAACATCTTGTACAAAATCATTTTTTTTTTTTTATTTTTCTCATCTATCACAATAAAACATTCCCTAGAAAAAGGGAAAGTTTATGTAACTGGTCGAAGGTAAATGTACAAATAAAAATGCAATTAACTGGTTTTAATCCTTGTGAACACAAATGCCATCTTAGTAAAACAAACATTACAGGAAATATATAAATAAATGTAGACGGTTGTACAGACTTAATGGATTTTTAATGTCAGCGATAGGTTTGATCACACAACTCCAGGAGGCTACACGCAATGATACTTTATAGAATAGAATTTATATACAAGGAAAATACAGGTATCGCTTCTTAGTTTTTTTTTCTCCATATTTAATCAGGATGAGATACGGATATGAAGATATATCACAGAACATATTTTCTCGGATGATTCAATGGATTTTCAAAGTCGATATCTCATAAATTAATGCCTGGAATGAAAAAGCATACGAAACAAATCAGAAATATTTTCTAACAAATGATTGGTCGTTAGTTTTTCCTCGTAGCTAACAAAGCTTACTAGACTTTTTCGGGTCGTATCGCTGGCGGAAGTACAATGTGCAGGAACGTGTTGTTGTACAGCGTGACGTCATTCATGGCTGTTTCAACATAACAGCAACACCTATATTTCAATCCCAGATGCGCACGTAAATAAAATGGGACACAGCCTTTTCATTAAATGAATTATCATAATTATCCAGGTAGAATGAATTGCTGCCATTTTCAAAAATAAAGTTTTTGTGCATAAAGGTTTGAATTATCATAGTTGTCCACGTGGAATGTATAACTGCTATTTTCAGAGATAAAGTTTGCATGCATAAAGGTTTGAATTATCAAAGTTGTCTAGGAGAAATGTAAAACTGCTATTTTCAGAGATAAAGTTTGTATGCATGAAGGTTTGAAAATAATAGAAGCTATGAAAAAATCCAACTTCTTATATCAAGTCAACAAAGCAGTTGATACCAGTTTCCTTTATTACTCAATGTCTCTACCACATTTCAATCAGTTTACCGATCTCATTTACAGCCGAAAATAATAACGATCATTTCTTCATGTAAGAATATCTTTAAATGTAGGAAGTTAATAATCCTTTTATATCATCTAGAACCTATGATATTTTTCACAGTTTTTTATGTGTTGCTACGTAATAAAATAATTATGACATATATTATATCGAAGAGTCTTAATTACTTCTGTTGTACATTTCCTTATTGTATTTTCTTATCGCCAAATAACAGATGTATATAGATTATTTACCGCACATAGATATATAAGTGTCATATAATGATGGTTGGTGATTAGCAGTCCCATTCTAATTAATAATACCGTTTTAGTACCTGTGCTGTGATACAAGGAAATCCCACTGATTCATTACATGATTGAGTGATTATGGACCTTCCGGCCACATTAAAACAACATTTGACAGCACTCGTAAAGATTGTCAATCTAACAAACGTAATGATGAATAATTCTTGTCTGACATAACCGACAAATGTCCGAACAAAGGCTGCAGTAATGATTAGTATGTGGCGTAACGCTTCACTGATCTGACAGGCTGTCAAACTTCGTCACTTCTACTACAGGATCAGACTCCCTCTGGCCTGAATATCACAGGCGTCACTCTCATAAATCCCCATGCTTGATAACAACGTAAGGAACTATTAATATTTAGTAACATTGTCTAAAATGTGATATAATTGAGACCTTTAACATTATATTTTGAAAAGGGACATAGCGTGGGTGTTGTTTGATGACTGTGTTAAAGTCTGTGTACTGTGACGCAATCCTAGTATTGACAACATGGTGGTTGTCGTTGCTGTAGCAGAATACACTTACCGTTGCGAAACACCAGGTCCAACTTTCCTTTTAATCTTTTTCTGTGGACTGGGTAACATTATGTTCACATGTCGGTGTTTTTGTGTCGGTCTTGTGTATAATTATCACAACAGACATTGTTTTACGATCAAAGAAATTAGCCAAATTATGGAGGTAATGTTGGCTAGCTTTGTTCCACGTGTTGTTTTGAGACTTTGATATGTACTGTAAGCAATGTTAACTTGTTTGACTGAAGAGGTTATACGTAGTTTGCTGTGATGTTTACATTTTCTCTGAATACAAATGAAACCAACATCAAAACACAAATTGTTTGTTTGGGTAAGGAATCATGCTTTTGATATACAAACATGTGTGTGTGCTCTTAGTTTTATTATAATTGATATGAAGACGACACACATAAAAATTGATGTTTTCCGTATTGTAATTAACATACTAATGGAATGAAAGCACCAGCATTTAAAGTACGACAATTGAAATATAAAAACAAAAACAAAACAACAAACAAAAACAAAGCAAAAACGAAACGAGCCCTGCAATGTCGATTTCATTGTCTAAACTATGTCGGTCTGTGACGAATTATTGATAACGATTCATAAACGATGTCAAACTTTTGTGTTAGTGAACATATTTAATTTTCAATACATTTTCTGGAGATTTAAACAAACCTCCGGAACATGTTTTATTTGTTTTGAGTACAAAGAATATATAAAAAAAAATCAGGCACTGCTTTGGCGGCTAGGGTTGTTTTGTGTTGACACTTGGGGATGACCTGAAACAAAGATCAATAGAATTCAGTGACTTGAATGTTTGATAAAATATGTTGTTTATCGTTGGTAGTATCCGATATGTGACTTATTAGCATATGATCGATCAAGAATTATTTTATATCATGATTCTCTTACTAAGATATTTTACACTATTTTTACATTTAGTAGACATCACAGCTTTATGTAACATGAATGTATTACTGAGTGATAGGCCAAGAGACCATGCTAATTTTTCGCTGAATGTTTTAATTGTATGATTTAGCTACTACTATATTACCTAATAATTTTGATTTGAATGACCTGACCAAATCTGTAGTAAAGTAATGAGTTTTGTTACACATAAATTCTAAACTTTAGGATTAGCAAAATAGCTATCAATTATTTGCTTACCATAAAAGGTATAACCATAATAACTATCAATTGTTCATTCGCTCTGGTATATTACTTTTAGTATTACCAACATAAATATTATTTGTTTACTCGCTCTCGTATATTACTTTTAGAATTACCAAAATACCTATTATTTGTTCTCTTTTTTTTTGCTCTGGTATATTACTTTCAGTATTAACAAATAACTGTTAAATGTTTATTTGCGTTAGTATATTACTTTAAGTATTACCAAAAGTAACAATTTATTGTTTGCTTTCTGTACTATATTACTTTTAGTATTTCAAACTATTTGTTGTATTTCTTTTTTATTTCCTTGACTGTGGAATAAATAACCACGATTTTGTTTGGTTTACCTGTGCCTGTGATATACATAAACTGTACATGAAACACCTGAGAAGGCGCTGACCGTGGCCCAGACTTTTCCTGTTTCGTGAACGTAACCACTAGTAGAGGCCAATTATATCTATTTACAAGCTTTGAGTTTGTTTCCTTGTCAATAAGGACACTGTTTCAAACACACTTACATATTCAACAATGATCGTGGAACGAAGAAAATGTATTTAAAGATGACGTACTGGATAATACCGTAAACATTGATATATACACGACAGAGAAAAGTTTGGTGCAATATTAGTAACAATACAGCACAATATTCTCTATCATAATGAACGTGCGAACGAAACATGTTTGAGATATTGGTAGTAAATTTACTTGGCTATATATATATTTAAAAAAAGAAGCAAGACAATACTAATATGTCAACAGAATCATAATCCAAACTCAAATTTCATGTAACTGGGGTAAGAAATGGAAAAAAAAAAGATTTACAAGTAGACTGGTGAAAAAATACAAGGAGAATAAGCCAGGTGTTCCGGAACATTAAGCGTGTTCTGCGTCATCATCGACACCCCCACCCACCCCCAGATTTAATTCTAAAACACTGTGTTTTTCATCTTTAATAGATTAGTTCGGTAAAAAAGAATGTATTTCTTAATAAAAGATCATCGATTCATCAAACCTAAAACCCTCTTGTATACATTGGTAAATCCAAGTAAAGACTAAGTCGTCGCTGTGATCAGATACACATGTTTTGGATACTGCTGTTTGGGAATTAGTCTTCTTTGAGTGAAGTTCATGCCTTGTTGCATAGGTTAAAAATGAGTCCAATATGCTACAGCTTGACGTATGTGAAATTCACATTTATAAATTATTTGATTTATTGATCCTTTTCTTCAATTGCAGATAAACAATGAAGAAATCCCTATGTAAGCTGCTACCCATCGCGATATTACTCTTTCTACAAAAAACAAACGGTAGGTACAAATGCTTACATGGCACCTATTAACAAGTGATATCATGACAGTCCAAGCAATTGATAAACATTCAAACATATTAAGTAATACCAATCCAGGTTTTTAAGCAAGATTTATACATTATATCAGATATGGATTTTCCATTTCTTTCTAACAGCCAACCATATTTCAGCTAAATGGCTTAACCTATAACATCTGTGTTTGCTGTTTTGACAGGCCAAGGAGACTTTTTCGGAAACTTCAGACCCAGAAGTAGATTTGATGGGTTTTTTAGACAGAGATTTGGCGCCGGGCCAAATATTCCAACAAATGGACAACAAACACAACCTCAACAGCAACAGTCACAACAACCACAAGGAACAAATAACGCAGCAACGCCAGCAGGGACGTCATCAAATTCGAATACCCAACAGGCACCATCGAACACTCAATCCGTCCCAAGACAAGTTGGGACGGTAACGGTCCCTATCATTGGTCCTTTCCCGTCTGATGCTGGGACACAGACGCCAACAGGAATTTTCGGGATGGGACAGCCAGGTCCCTTCAGTCGAATGGGACAACCCATGTTACCTCCCCAGGGAATGACACCTTTCGGAGGGCGTGGCGGATTCAACCCAATGTTCGGAAGACAACAGCAGCAGATGCAGCAGCAAATACCACAACAACAGTCCAGGATTCCTTTGGGTCAACAAAACACCATGTCTTCTTTTCCATCTCAATTTGGGTCGCCCCAACAAAGAGGTATAAACAATCTGTTACTGAGGGAAGGAGAGCAGATGCTCATTCTACCAAATAGCATGGCTCGAACACTGATGTCAATGCGGAACGGAAACAGACGGGAATTGCGCAGGCTCGCTTTACTTGGTATTCCACGCTCGCTCCTTAGCACGTTCGCAGCACAACCTGAGGTGTTCGCTAACTTACGTAGACAAAATAGTATTGCTGGTGAGGCCAGGACTTCTGTTGTACGACGAAGTAAGTCTGGCTCAGGCTGCTTTGCTTTATTAACACCATTGAGATATACTGTTCAGTAGCTACTCTTTATGAAAGTAGTTGCTACTGTGTTAGGTAGCATCTTAGTATCTTAGAAACGTGTCGAAATAATGTTTACTCGATTTTTAGAGACTTAAATTTTAGTCAATAGTCAGAGAAAATAAATATTGGAAATATAGATGGACCGTTTGGGAAAATAAATCTCATGTAGTGAACGAAAGCAAATTGCGACAAAAGCTGTTTTGTTTAGTTCAGTTTACCAAGAATATGAGACACATATAAAACAAAATTACTGGTAGTAAGTTTTATATTTATAAATGTTAATATTGATTTTCTAGCTAGGTTGTTACGCATCTCCCGAATGCAGCTCTGACAACTGAAGAGGCGTGATCAGTATGGTACAATGACATGTTCTTGACAATTATAATACTATTCAAGTGTTATGATTTACACTTTTTAGTTACCGTAAATGTCAATGTAGTGTTACGAAGCTCTTAATTGATAACTAAATTAATAACAATTAGGAATTACTCAGAATAGTTAATTTAAAGCTATATTACATGGAGAGTTTCTTCTTAATACAGATTGCTTCAATTTTTTTTAAAACAAAACCAAACAAACTACACAACGTTTTCAATCAGTCATTAACGGTATTTAGTTTTAGTCGTCCTATCAAACGCCACTCTAACTCATACGATACACACCATCAACGTCACGATCCATGACTACAGATCCCCCAGCATGACCTCATTACAATTCATCAAGAGAACACGAGGAGGTGTACAGATTATCTAAGCCACTGATCTATTACTTAACTCATCTGCAATTGCAAATATATTAACCTACGTAAGGGAATGTCAGTCGACAAAGTTCTTTGAGTGCATTAAGAGATAAGGAAAAAAAGTAACTCGTTAACATACTTTTTCAACAAACCCCACACGAATATTTTGATAATGTCAATGACTATAAGTGTAACAAATAAATCTATACCATAGCTAGCTAATATTTCAGACTACCAGGATTGCAAACTTGAGTATATTTTGTACTTGAAGAATGCTTCTTATCTGTGTTTGGGAAAGCCGAGATTACGATAACTAAAACAAACCACGTGGAACATGCTGTTAAAGTATATCGTGCTTCCTTATATATATATGTATATATAACTCTAAAGTTGCATGTAGTATATAACAAAACTTGTTTTGAACAGGCTTTCCTTGCATAACTCTGCTTAATTAATATGCCAGTGTATATTCGAAGCACATTTATAACTGCATGTACGAACCATCTAAACACAATTTGTTTGATACCTTTACGTTCGTATGTACTATTATGTGTTTTTTACGAATTTTAAAATTGAAAAACTAGTTGTAGAGAAACTATCAATATCATTAGATGATACTACAGCCCTCTAATAATGCCACACTAGTTGTGTAGGGCGGACGAAATGTTCTTGATTTGAACGCCCTTTTTTATCATTACATCTTTCGAATTGTTTTCGGTAAATGAAATTGCTAACTAACATACATTATATGCTTATCGGGTTCCGGGATATATAGTATATATGTAGATATCTAATGCATGCTTGTATTAACATAATAAATAAGCAAGACCAGTTATCTAGCATTTAAATGAATGAATGTTAATGTCAGCATTTGCAACTGTAAACAATTGCTTTTGTTAAGTAATGCCAAGCACACAGTATGTGGAGTATTGTTATACAGACGAGTATTGGTATCGGATTGTACGACATGAAGGATACTTTTAAAGAATCTTTACCACTGATATACTTGTAATATATATCTTGTTTTTTAACCCATTTGTGCAAATCACCTTATACCACTTAGGAAATCAGCAGGTAGTTCCTCCTGATCAAACACAACGAATAAATTTCCCACAGACACTCCCTCCACAGGTTCAGAGGGAGATGCAAATGGCAGGATTCGGGAGAATGGCAGGTGTTTCTCCAAGATTTGGAGGTAAAGTAATTTCAGACATTGTTTCTAATTAATGTGATTATTCTTAAAATTGTGGTCATACCTGTCGATTGGATACTTTTTGTTGATTTTTTCAACATTCGTCAGCTTGAATGGTTAGTCCTTTAGAAGTGTAGATTGCATTGTAAGTCCATTGGTTTAGTACGGTATATTATCCAAATTTCTGACTATCTTTACATTCGGATGTTTTGATTTATATGCCTTAGTGTTAAGCTTCACGATCAGATGTGCAAGGGAATATATATATGTATTGTTTTCAAAACAGAAGACATATTTTTTGTCTAGCTTTTATAACTTTTTCAATACCAAACAATATTTTACATATCGAAACTGATGTATGGACTTTTTCAATACCAAACAATATTTTACATATCGAAACTGATGTATGGAGACCGATACCTGCTCATTTTCTTTCGCAGCACAATGACTTGGCATTGTACAAGTACATAACATAACATAAGGTAATTTTGTTATCCAGGTTTAAAAAATTATTTAACATTTCTAAAATGACTGTATCCAAAATATCAATATATGAAACTGAAATATATTTCGAAGTGTTAGTGTCACCCTGATTTCGAAATTTTTGGACAAGCGATTGTAAGTCCACAATTTAACCGGACTTGTTAGATTTTCTTGCTTTACTTTGTTTAAACCTGACAAAATAAGTGCCTTTCGGGTAACTCCAATCACTGGTAATTCCAGCTGGTTTTCCTTAATGGTGTCATCGATAGCAAACCCAAAGGTTGCAAAACACAATTGGTAACAAAGTATTAATATTTTTTCTCAAGTGAACCTTACTTTTTATGAAACTGAAAATATTGTGAAATTGATTTCTCTACTTTCTCTTTGTTAGCATTCAAACCTCTATATGATGTAATTGAGGTTCTACCAGGTGAGAATGGTGATGCTTTTGCTTCCAGGCATCCATCATATGACTGCTAACATTGAAAGTGACCTTATAAAATTACTGACAAATAAAGAACCTTTTTATTGATTGGTGAGCGATTATGCTTAATTTTGATACATTAAAATACTGATGGGTACCACTCCAGTGCCAAAGGAACGATGAAGTGATTAGGATCACTCTGTATGGCCATCACGCTCCTTTTGCATGACATTATTGATATCAGGATTACTTGTAATGAATGGCTTCTTATTATCATCACATTTAAAACATATGTCTGGAATCAGCTTCATATCGTGACAACATATCTTATTTGGTTCTTATTTATCCAATAGTAGCATAGCATCAGTGTCTACACATTAACATAATAAGGCTGGCAAAGGTCAAGGTTAAAGGGTCAAAAGTGACATTTGACAATTTATGTTAATTCGTCAACGCTAATGCATGGGAATACAAACCATAAATAACAACTCTTACAGTGATTCGACAGAATTTTTTTTTTTTTTTTTTTTGGGGGGGGGTATTCTTTACAAGCATAACTGTGTACTGTCAAGATTAGATGATGAAATGATACGTTTTTCTTAAATTTCACGACATGAGTTATAATGATTAAATACTAACTGTCAAGTACGAAAAGTGATGGAGCTTCCATAATACAATTAATAGTTGACCAAAGCGGTGTTGGATTTATCTCAATATCTCATTTGACGAGAAAATCTATCTGTCACGAGTGTTGCAAACCACAACGAGAACGACAGATGTTTAATATCATCCTCACTTTTATTTTGCGTTATGACATCACGTACTAAATAACTTTATTTTGTTAAGCACAAGAAGTAGTAAGACTAATATTTAATATTTATTTTAATTAATTATCGCTTTACTCATAATAATGTGAAGGTTTTAACAGATTTGTGCATTGTTTTGAGTATTTATTTTGACTGACGACACCATCAATTTCATTTAAATGTTTGAATTATGACACTAGCTTGGTCAAATTTCCAAAAAATTCCACGAGCAGTGTACTTTAATTTTAAAGTCGTCGTTCCAAATAAATACATAAACCAAGGAGTTGCGGACTTCATGGTGGTTTCACAAAGGTTGGAAAACCATTATTGACATAATTTAAATGGTTTCAGCTCGTAAATCTAATGTAAACAGCCGTTGATTCATAATACCATACATACGTTGTTTTACATTCATAACCTTATTTTACGTAAGTACGATTATTTCTTGAATGGCGACAGAGGGGCTTTTTCCTGTACCACTGTACTGTTATATAATATTTTTCACACCATATCTAAATAACATAACTGAATTAACATTGTGTTACAGCATCGCTGCTTCTGTGAAAAATTATAAGTATTCTATTCTAGAAATACACTTCCTTGGATATAAAAAGTACTTGTTTGTTTATGATAGAATGGCGCATTAAAATTGTGACGTATTGTTAAATGTTATACTTTCAGCGATGCCATCACAACCTTCTCAACAGATGGGTAAGTGACAGTCACATTTCTAAAAATAACTTCTCATTAACTGGATTGACCAAAAATTAAATCGTGGGTGTCCTCGATGAAGCAGAAGACAGCAGAAGACACTTTTCCGGAACACCTGGTCTTATTCTCCTCTTAAAACAATTCAGAAATTTCGCTTAAACTTGTCTTTTGTACATATTTTGCCGCTTTCCCCTCCCTCCTTTTTTGGGTAAAAACTATGATGAATAACTGATAACCATATCCCAACTGTTAAAACTCACTATAGCACATCGAGAACGATGGTATGTGATAAGAGACGCTCATAAATTATCTTATTGTCTGTAAGTTCAATTTGAATACTCATACACAAATTCTGAAAACAATACGAATCAACCATTTCATGTTTCATCTTCCGTAGGCTCAGCAGTCAATGGACCTCCACCATTGTCACCTTCGGCAGGACCTTCAGGTAAACACGATTTCTTTGTCGTCCTTATATAGTTATACAGTCTTTGTTTCGTTATGCGAAAAGTATGGTCGCTTTGTAATATATAGAATGGATTCATTCCATAAGGCTATCTACACAGTATAATCATATTAATATACGTTCTTAATATTACAAACTTAACTGATTATAAATATTTTTTAATATGCAATTATTTGTATAAGCCATGATATTTCGCATTAAGTATTCTAATTAATTATCGCATCCTAATCTATTCCAACATCGTTATAAATTGTTCCTCCAGATTAAACCTTTTTTTCATAAATGTAACGAGTAATCTTTCTTATATTTAACAAAATTATGTGACAAAAGTATAAGAAAAGTCAATACTTGATAAATAGAATAAAGATGCCGTTTTTACATGAAAAAGAGTTTGGATTAATGCAGATAAACCAGTTAGGATGTCATGTGGGGTTTTACAAAATATGGCGATAGTTTAAAAATGCAATAATGACTTATTTCAACTGTTTCCATGCATACCCCCCCCCCCTCTCCCTGTTGAAATGATCGTCTTTACAGTATCATTGGTATGTATTATATGTTATACTTGCCATCATGAATGCACGATCATGACACATGTCTCGTAATTCATATTACAGCAAGGCCCGCCCCTCAATCACCCCCACCACCACCACCACCACAACAACAACAGACACAAGTACCGCCCCAACAACCACAACAACCCCCGCAGCAGAGACCGATACCAGGTACCTATATGAACACAATGCACTTGATTTCTGTAGTCATCACACATGGTGCTTGCATGAAATGTCATTTTGAAAGGATCATTTCCTTATCCACTCACTAAAGGTGACACATAACAACACACACATTTAAATCATATATATATAAATGTGTGTTGCTAAAAAGAGAGAATTATTACTCAAATACTTTCGAAAGCATTGAGTTATGAATATGTTTCATACAAATATAAATGATATGACTGTTAGTGTATTGTAGTAACGGTAACTAAATTATCGACGACGTAAATTTGAAAACTGCCCTTTTGATTGAATAAACACATCGTTTCGATCTGTCAGTGTAAGTTCTTCAGTATACTTTTCTCTGTATCTTAGCAACTGGTATTTATTGATGATAAAATTGAAAAGCACACTGTGCTTAACACCCAAATAAGAATTCGGATAGAGTTCCAAATATATCATGTCTTTTTCAATTATCACTTGACTCATCTACAGCCACAAGTAATCAAGCGCCACAAATGCCACCTCAAGTCCGTGGGTTATTCGGTCAAGGTATATTACATATAGAGATTTATTTACGTACTTGTAGGCATAACAACGTAGTGACATTAGAATTTGAAGGACTGAAGTGTGGTGGACTTAAAGATTTCATGCGAATTTTTTTTTATTATTTAATTGATTGAAAGAATATACACTGTAGTTCTGAATTTCTACTTACATGTACGTATTAACATTTTGACGCCACACTTTATCTTGGACAGTAATACCGATGCTTGAAATATTATTTAGAATACCAAGGGAATTGTTCACATTATTGTTAATTGCAATTTACACAGTATGATCTTATGTAATTTGTTTTGTCGAACATCGTAGGCAGAATACCACCACAGATGATCCCGCCTATGTTCAGGGGCAGTATGCAAGGTAATTAAATGTATGAAAATAACACTATTATTAGTTCTATTTATGGAACATTAATTATTTTAATCATAATCACAGATGTTACAGTAGAGAGATATTCTAGGGCTTGTTCTCAATATCACGATTTGCCTGAAAGATGTCGACAGCTGACGCACAGACTTACCACACAGGATTTTGGTAGATGTAAACTGATGTTGACTAGGAAAGTATATGGTCGTCATGATGTTATGATACGGGGAAATTTAGTTAGGTCCGTTCATTCTTCAATAGTATGTCTGGCTGTTTTGTTTGTTTACATGGCGGGAATCGTCGATGAAGCAATAGACGCTTATCCTTCCAGAACACATGGTGTTTTTGGTTCTGTACTTTTTCCAGGCTCTCCATGTATTTTTCGTTTGACTTTATAATTTGCTAATATGTCGGTGTGTTCATGTTGTTATTCTTCACTTGAATAAGATAAGTTAATGTAACATGTTTATGTTATTAAGATGCCTTCTTGATATTAAATAGAACGTATTGAAATATTATTGATGGAGACACGTGTCATGGCTTCTCTCTGTTGCAGGTCCCGTTGGAGGTCCAATGTTTCCAAGTGGGCCTCAAGGCACGTTAGACACGGCAGGTATAAATAAATTATATATATAACTTTACTGATCATACTTGTTGGCGCAGATCTAAGCGTACGAAGGGTCTTAGTGTAGGAGGAACATGGAGTTCCCAAGGACCACCCACGTGGTCGGTCAGATGAACCCCTTCCTTTCACGTCCATTGAAAAGCGAGTGCGCGTTACTTCTGCGCCAACCGACCACGATAAATAATTACATATCTTCAATATAATTGATAAATTGATAACATGTAGAAATAACGTTCAGCACGTAAGGACTGACGGCGCCTTAAATAACTCCTACAAGAAATAGCAATTAATGAAAACGACTCATATCAGTTCACTAAACAAAGTTCATTATAGAAAATTTTGTGTAATTGAAAATAAGTTTTAGTTTTATTTCATTCAATGATTTATTTATTGATTGCAGGACAACAGCCTACAGATCAACAACCTGGCCAGCAAGCAGCTGCAGGAGGTAGTCAAAAGGAGTTTTTGTTAATGTCCATAATATGGACATCAGACAATATACGTAAAAATAAGCGTGTTCATAAGTGTTTCGTTCATTATATGTAAAAAATAATCATCGCCTGATGGTAATTATCTATAGTACGCAACACTAAAGGTTAAGTATGATAACGACAAAGAATGAGCAATTGACTGACAAACACAAACATTCTTAGTGATACAGTTTATTGTTCTCAATGGAGGCAAATTCATTAACGTATTACAAGATAACTCTTAGTACCATTCAATTCCCATCACAAACTTTTACTTATGAATAGAAGAGAAAAAATAATTATTCCTAGTTTACACTGGAATATTTACACAATATATATTGACATCAACTAAACTATGACATAGATTGTCGCAACAGTATCAATATTTCTTAGAATGGATGGATAAAGTTACTCTGAATTATTACCCCGAGGTGATATAGACCACAACCTTGTTTATCCTCAGAAGCAAAGATATCTTTCAATATCTAATAACTCTAAAGTTCCTTACTTGATACAACCTTTTATTAACAAATCATTTTCAGGTCAGACCTCTATGACACCAATGGTTCCGAATCAGCCCCAGCAGTTTCCCAATCAACAGCAGCCAATGCGGGGTATGTAACTTCATCGTGAATGTGTTTCCTTAAGCATGTAGTTTGTAGAATTTTACCGTATCAGAAACATTTTTAATGAAAGATAGATTTCTCTACTAATCAATCCTTTGCTATACTCCTGCCATTTCATGGTCGGAAGCACTTAGTCATTCCATCATTCCGTCATGATTTTGTTTCCGCTCATTAATTTTAAGGATACAGATTAGAACTGTAATTTGGTGTGTAGTTTTATACTGATAATATGCAGGTTCATCTTAAATTTGGTTATGGTTAAATTTTATCGAGTTATGACCATGTAACGTTTAGAATTGTAATTAAGATTTAAAAAGTAAAACCAATATTGGAGATCCTTGCCTGACTCCAGTGAGAATTGAAAAAACAATGCAGGTAGAACTTTTATTTCGGTTTCAATAGATTCTGGACACAGAGCATCAATTTCATTACGGATTTTTTCCCATAGATTCTACAGTCAGGACTTCAATCTTATAACAATTACAACTAAAAGTTCAAACTTCTTGCATGTGTTCGATGGCTATCGGCATTTGTGTGTTTTTAATTATAAAATCAATTTTAAATCTTCCAACTAATTTTAGGACTTTTTTGGTTTAGGATTCTTTGTAACCGTGTTTTACTAACATTTGCTCTGAGATTATCAAAGGAATTTTTTTTTTCTGTTTTGGTGTTTTTCCTTTTTAACTTTTTCAATGAACTTCTATGAATTGCATGTCACTTTAACATACTTTTCTGTATTAATCCTCGACTATTTCAAAGGAATGCAACCAATGGGAATGCCATCTATGGGTATGCCAAATATGGGCGGCATGCTTCCTATGGGCATGCCAAATATGGGAATGCCAATAATGGGAACGTCGAATATGGGAATACCAACTATGGGAATGCCAAACATGGGTATGCCAAACATGAGAATACCAAATGTAGGTGTGCCAAACATGGGTATGCCAAATATGGATATGCAAAATTTCGGAATGTCACAGAATGGTAAGTATTGAATCACTGATTGCATGGTTTTAAACAATTGCATGTATTCTTTGTACATCAACAACAATAAACAAGAAAATACAATGATATTCTTTTTGTGTGTTCTTGTCGTTTACTTGGATCACAATTTGCATTGTTGAGTTTTTGTTTGTTTATGATAAATCAGGACAAGCCGGTATTCCACAAATGAGATCACAATCACCAAATCAACAACAACGTGGAAACATGCCAACAAATAATGCAGCACAAACGTCAGCGCCACCGAGTAGCCAATCAACGAACCAAATGACAAATACTCCAATGTCACAAAACGGTATGCCCAATGGAATGAATCCCGGCATGTCTGGAAGATTCCCCATGCCTGGAATGTTTCAAGGAAATATGTTTAGAGGAGGAATGCCAGGAGGAATGCCAGGGGGAATGCAAGGAATGCCGAGAATGCCAATAGGTATGCAAGGAATGTCAGGAAGTATACCTAGTATGGCGGGAGGTATGCAGCAAGGAATGCAAAATATGCCAAATGGTATGCCAGTCATGCCGAGAAGTATGCAAAATGGAATGCCAGGAAGTTTTCAAGGTATGCCAGGCAGGGTACCTGGAATGCAAGTACCTGCAGGATTCCCGCAACAAGGAGGTAGGTAGTAAATATTGTGTATTGATTGCAAATATGTTTTAGAGAAAGTAAATGATTTTTTATTACAAGAGTTACGTAATTCATACAATAATTTGATGTTAAAGTTTCTTTCGGTTTGGTGGATTTAATTTACATGAGTTTTTTTTTCAGTCGGATCTCCCCAACAATCAGTACCTGATATTCCGTCTTTACCATCCAACATGCCTGTTCCGGGTAAGTCCTCTAGTGTTTATGATATTTCGAGCGCCAAAATTCTAATATATTTTACTTTAATATGTTTGGTTTTTTCATGTTTCATTTTATTTAATTTTAGATTTACCAGGCAGTATCCAGACACCCTCTCGTGTGTCGTTACCAACACGTATGTATTCCTAATATCTTTAATATGAAATGAAGTAACGTTATATATATGTTTGAAATAAATCATCAACAAGTCTGCAGAATCACTGTCAGATAGCGTTCTAACGTTGAAATCACAAAACAAAATAAGAAAAGCAAGCACTCCTGCCTTGTATCTTAAGTCCATCTCATTCTAATTAATATTGCTATTGTTATTAATAATTTTCACATGTCACATGTCAAGATTCATCTCATCTTATTATTAGCAAAGTCACATTCGACTGACTATTACGGCGGTATAACAAATAAGATAAGAGTTCATCAAAACTATCAGCAATATTGCTAGCTATGATCTAATTATAAGAATTAATTTAATTTTCTGCTACAGATCCTTTGTCTTATGCTCACTTAGATATACAATAATTTTAGAAAACCCTTCAAAAATCTCCATATTTTTCGAATATTTGTTATTGTTATTTCGAAGTCATTTCATATTAAATCTTTCACTTCTCTTTAAGATACACATTTCCTGTTAGTCGCCAATTTAGGTTACTTTTCCACTTATTTTTACTTCTGTCTAAAACCATAACCATATATATCTGTCATGTATATTCTCCTGCATTGATTTTACAAATTCAAAAAACGACTTCGGTTTTATTGTGATATTCTTTGGTTACTTTTATTTTTACATCAATTAATAATGAAGCTACTAGTTACCATTGCCTTTTCAATCATAATGTAGAGCAGTAAATAACTGAGGGTTTACATTTATATAGCAGGGGCTACATCAACGACGCCTGCTCCCAGAGGGCAAACCAGACCAATACCGTCATTTCCAGGTTAGTTTTCCATGCCAAATAATAATATGTATGTTTTTTTGTTAATTTGTGAGTCGTGCACACATCTTGTTTCTGTAAATCACTTAAAGTCTATTACGATAAGACATGACCTAGACTATTATGTTAAAGACGTTATTTTTCATTTTGATAGGAATACAGCCATTCCCCGGAGCATTTCCTCCAGTTGCAGGTAAAATGTTTCGCATGCATATAATATAACAGGAATATTTGGGTCTTGAGGTAAAACAACAACAAAGCACAGAACTGGAATATTTGAATAATTCAAACTTAAATGCGTTTCCCTTGAAAATGTTTTTGTCAGTTTTCTGAAGAAGTTTCCTTGATCAACGTATTGCCTGAATATGTATTGTATTTGTATACGACCACTACATGTAACTATTGCGTTATATGAAAAAAAAAATATTTTTGCACTCAGCGCCTGCACCTCCAGCAGTTCCAGCCCCTGCCGAACCTGCCATGCCGGGGCCTCTTGAATTGCCTGGCCCCTTAGAATTGCCAGGCCCCTTAGAATTACCTGGACCACTTGAGATGCCGGGTCCTGCTGCTTTGCCTGGTCCACTGGAACTGCCTGGACCGATAGAGTCACAAAGTTCTGCAAATATGCCTGGACCCCTTGGACTTCCAGGATCTCCAGGCCCTCTTGACCTTTCACGCCCACTCCAACTACCAGAGTCTTCAGCCCCTCCTAATCCATTCAGTTTACCAGGTCCACTTCCATTGCCAGGTAACCGAACGATTTTCCTTTGAGGCCTTTTTTTTTTAATTTTCAATAGCAGAAATATTTAAAGTGACCAATTGCTCGAGTCTTTTCTTTTTGAGTAAATGCTTTCTACATAAGGACATGAACCTGATTTCATATATTGCTTACATCTAGTACATTCAGTGATTAAGATGTTTATGACCTGAATATAAAAAGGAGCCTTCCAATGTCAAACTTCTTTTCTAAACTCTTTCTCAATACACGGTTAAGTAATATCCGTTTGTTTATTACAAAACAGCAGGAGAACCAGAAAATAAGTCCACATTACCGGGCACAGGTATGATATTGTCTTACGAACAATGTCAATATTTATGTTTATATCCAATTTTAGACTTACTTCGGTGTTATTTGCAAAAAATAATCGACTTGAGAACGAAGCTTTCTTTTCACGCTTTCTTATCTTGATATTTATCGATGCTAATAATACGGGGATAGATATTGTTTGTACGTTCCCTTAATTAATTTATTGAAGTCATATCATGCATTTCTTGATAAATGTTTGCCGGTATGTTTCCTCTTCGGTTAATGTCTTTCGACGTAAGATTATTCTTCGATAAAAACAGTGTATTTTGACGTATCATGATTTCTTAATAAAAGAAGGCAATGTATTGTGACATATTGAATTCTTCATCAAAGAAGGGATTACAAACGTATCATGCGTTTCTTGCTTCACGAAGACAATCTATTTTGACATCCTATTCTATATTTCTAGAGAAAATGTATATAATTTATTAGATATTTTATTTATGGCATGCCATTCTTAGAAATGGATGTTGATATAATATTGTACATTTCTTGGTTAAGACAGACAATTTATTTTACGATTTTATTAGGCTACGTTTAACATCTATACTTGTTTCAATTGCCTGTAACGGAAACGCGCTCATTTAATATTTCTAAAGAAGAATGTTTGTTCTATTAGCTGTAGATTCCGCCCCAGTCCAGGTTCCGTCTTTCCCAGGTAATTTCATTTTATTTACATCTATATAACCTTATTTATAATCGTTCGGTGTACTTTCCATGTTACATTTAAATATATGATATAATCAAAATTAAAAATAATTCCTTTGAACTAATTAGAAGCGGTTTTATATTCTTTGGATATGCATGATATCAGATTGAAAGTCTGTGACTGAATATGCTTTGGTAGTTATTGGTGCCGGCCAAAAGGTGTTCTTAGTTGAAAAAAATGAAACTGTTTAATCTTTTACTTTGTTTTCATTGCTTATCATTTCAATTTCATTTCCATTTATTGATAAACCATATACTATGCTATATATTAGGATCAAATCCACCATGTTTAATTAAAATCAGAAAGGTGGTATCATAGAAAAGGCTGATTATTGATTTGTGTCCACTTATGGAATCTATTGCAGGAACTAAAAAGGTATGTGAGGTCAGCAGGATTTTGCAAAATATAGATTGTATTTCTTTGTAGTGGTAGTCATTGTTGTCAAATTATTTTAAAGTTGGTCTAATGAAGATATAAAGTAATAATAAGCGTCATTAAAAGTGAAATATTAATCAGTCAAAAATTGTATGACTGCTCATTATATTTTTTTGCAATTTCTTAAACAGCATTTCTACTCAGAAAATCTATTATTCTGAATACCATAATATATACAAAAGTATCTTTCTGAACAGAAACGCCCAAATTGCGTTTTGAGCAGAGGCAACCTTTAAGGTAGATGTTGGAATCAAGAATTTCACTTTATCAACACTTGCCCATTAATTTTTCAGGTCTAAATATTCCCGGATCTTTACCTTCGGATTCTAACGGAGGTATGTATATGATACATATTGCGAAGTCGTATATATTGCGCACTAACAGATATATTGATAATTGGATGTCACCTCCACATAAATATAGTGGGAATGATGTGGGATTCTCATAACACGAAGAATCTTTCACGTTTAACCCCCTGCGTATGCAATATTTTATTGAAATTAAATTGGATCTTAAAATATCTTAGCATTATAACATAAATGAATATATAAAGATATTGTCAGCGCTTTATTCATTATTATTCATTATTTATCATACTTGAGTTTATTCAGCTTTGCTACTTGATTAAATCCGACTATATAAGACGTAATTAAACCACCTTAGGCAAAATTCCCTCTTTACCGTGCAACACTTGCAAAAACACATATGATCAGAATTATGTAAACAAGATTGCAAACTAGTTTTTGAATAGAATTAGTGTATATTAGGTCTAATCAGAGAGAATGAAAATCTCATTGAAGACTTCAAATTGACCAGATCATGAAAGCAATAATCAGATAAACTACATTATTCCTGTTGTTGCCGTCTAAATGCCGTCCTCTTTATTCATGTCATTGTGCTATTCGTTTCTACTTTTTCTCTTTTCCTCTTGGCCTCCCTTCTCTTCCTGCTTTTCAATTCATTTTCCCTGTTCCTCTTGTTGCCTTTGTGGGCCTCACTGTTCCGTTTGCTACTTGATCTGTTCCCGCTATTGTTTCGTTGATATCACACTGTTCCTTTTGTAGCCGTCATGGAATATGTTGATAACTTCTGTCGTGTTTTTCTCGTCTGTACTTGGTTTTTCTCGCCATTATTTTGCAATTGTATCTGTTCCCGCTGTTACCAATGGTATTTCCATTTATGTTCTCTCTGTAAGTGTTGATGCACTGCCTCTTCCCCATATTGCACGTACTGTCATTGCTGATGTCCACCTTTTTCATGGATGCCTCCACCACCTTCCTGTTCTCGTATTTTTGTATCCATTTTAAACACCACTTTGCTCTCGTTTGTGTAAAGCTACATTTAAAAATTCTTATATTTGTTTCTAATTACGTAATTAACAATCTTTCATTGATAACAGAATAATGTTACAATATATATCTTGCACAAATCAACTTTCACATATCGATGCTTTTAGATAATGTCATCAACAAAACCTAGGGAGTAAACATATTCTAAATTATTTAATTTAGTATGAATCATACACTTGTTCCGAATCACAAATATCGTGGTTTTCCTTTATTATTTTTGACAAGCATTACATTTGCTTTGATTTTACTTAAACACTACTTGTATTTGAGGCGCTGGAATTCCTATTTCTTTCCGTTGACGATTTGGTATGTACCATTCGTCCTTCATGGAAACTTGCTAAGGATGCTAGATAAGCTTTGGAGAAAATGCCAATGCTTTAATAATGACTCTTGCTACATTATCGGCATATCGCATATCAGCAACACGCTTGTGCTTCAACAAGCTTTCATGATCTAAGAAGATATAATTAAATAGAACGGGCTTTGTTAAAAAAAACGCACGCTCACTTTGGTTTACGATTAGAAAGTTCTGTGAATGCGGAAGTCGATCCTTTTTGTGTTGCCAGCAGTATCGAAGGTTTTTATTTTGCGAGATCGAGGATTTGACATTTGACATTGCTTTCGATCAATTAGGATATTTATCGGTCGCCTCGTAGGCTTCAAATTCAAAACTTTGGCCCTTGTCATCACTGACATTCCTAGAAGTGCGAAATAGCTGTATGATGCAGTTTCTAACTTCAAATTGGTATTAAAAGGTGCATCTTTAGTGTGCGTTTTGTATGATATTTCATTGTTCATCTGAAGCTTTAACAGTAGTGTTGTGCTATGATAGACATTGCTTCTTCATTAAATCAATCAGATTATCTCTTTCACTTGATTTGTTCAAAATGCATTTGTTTATCTTTGAATATCTGGTTATTGAATTCATTTTGAATGTTTTTATTATGCTGTAAATTAAATTCTCTCGGTTTAAAGGAATGTCAGTCGTAATACTTTTTTTCTTTTCGTTTTAGGAATATAGTTTTACTTTTCCCTTTCTGAAGAATTATTCCTTGAACTGGTAGATCTTAAAATAAATTTTCCGAGAAATATACCTGACAATAGATCATTGGAAATATTTTCAAAAGTATGTAAAAAAATAGATATCAAATTTTGCGATGTATTCGTAGAAAAGATATGAGATATGAACTCCTTTCAGTGTGTGATATAATCGACATATTTATCTCGAAGGTTTTCCCGTTGGTGTCGGAGGACCTATCTCACCACCTCAAGGTAAGATGTTGTTTTGGTAATATATTTTTTGGTTGTAACGGAATTCACCATATTGGCGTTCTGAATATGTTTAAGAACAAGTTTATCTTATTCACATAGTTTGAAAAGACATCAAGTCAATTAGTTTTGCTGTATATTTTGCTCTATACATTGAGTAAACAACTTACTTAAAAGATCATGAGTCGAGGCAGTACATTAAGATGTCATCTCAAGGCATTTTGTATCAAGTGAATATAAGTATAAGAATAAGTATGATAAATAATGAATAATAATGAATAAAGCGCTGACAATATCTTTATATATTCATTTATGTTATAATGCTAAAATATTTTAAGATCCAACTTAATTTCAATCAAATATTGCATACGTAGGGGGCAGGGGGTTAAACGTGGAAGATTGTTCTTCGTGTTATGAGAATCCCACGTCATTCCCACTATATTTAATGTGGAGGTGACATCCAATTATCAATATATCTGTTAGTGCACGATACATATGTTTGACTATGCGCGACTATAGAATCGGTAGTATCACACGATATGTACACTTAGAAGAGGCCTGGTATCATATAGACGTTTCAAATGGTCACTGAAGCATTTTTCTCTCTCTGTGGTATGAACCTTTGTCATCGTTGACTGATTAATTTCAACGTTTCCTCCTTCGCTAAAACTGCGCTCAAAAAACAACAAAATATCCCCAGTATGAGTACAAATACGAAACACGAATACACGAAGTCAGTATCAATAAACGAAGCCCACCATATTACACATCTAACATCTGATAACAAATATATGGAGCGCACCAGATTTATTTCCAGGAATAAGACATCGATTTTGATGATACACCTATTATGACTAATAGTACCATAAATAAGCGTAGCCTTGTTGAAGTAACAAAATAGTGTATATGTATATGTATAGATTTTACAATGTAGTTTTAAAGTTGATCTCCAGTCAGTCATACACTTTAAAAACCTCCTTATACCTGTAGAGTTTAAGATATTATTCAGAACGTTGATTTGACATCAGATTTTATACTTCAATGCTATTTAATATACAGGTAAATTTAGCGTTTTATTGTAATGTTAGCCCTACGACTTCGTTAAAAGTCGGATACACTCTAGTAGTGAACTATAGAAGTCTCTAAATGAGCAAAAGTCGATGCTTTCACAAAAACGCTTTGAAAATACTATGGTCAATAGCTAGCAAGATATTGTGCAGATGCCGAAACGTGTTCCTATTCAATATTATTATTTAACAGAAGACACTTTAAAAGTTTTGTACGCTTTCTTATGTAAGATTAATATTGAGACAAACATGTAACAGAGAACTAGGGTGTGACTCAGAAACCGGTATACTTTCTATAGGTTATCACATGTTCTCTTGTACTAATACATCCTAACTTTATCACTCTTATTTCTTATTACAGCTCTAAAGATTTATCTCAATGTTCTGTCTATGACTGTCACTCTCTTCCATCTCTTTATTTCGCACTAATAAGCATATGCTTTTTTGTTTTTCCGGGTAATTTTGATTGATTTCTCAGTGCAATGATTAGCCTACTAGAATGGATGGATTTAAAATGTTATTTAGCTATTAGAGAAAATCTTTTTCGAAAATTATCTTTACATATGTTTTCATGTTTATTCAAATGTACATTTTTTTATAATCATTTCATTTCATTTCAATATTGAACTGCTATCAATGTTTAAATGAAAATAAAATGTCGAAGCTTCAGTAAAACGTATGCTATTTCAAACGCAATTGATGATTTTAAAATTTCATACGTCAGTAAAGCATCTGTATCATTTGTGCTCTCATTTTATCTATTTAAATGTTTCCATTAATTACTTTTTATTCACTAATCTATTACTTGTGCAATTCTTTTCTCTCTGTAACTTTGCATGTTCTAACCCTTTTCTCAGGTGTTGATGCTGGCGAACTAGTGTCAAACATAACACCACCACCTCCCTCTTCTTCTGACTTTTCTGCAAATACGCCATCTGAACCTGATGTAATGCTTGGCATTGGAGGAACCCCACCCGGATTTCCTCCTCTGGACCTTGGTGGTTTTCCTGGTTTAGATACGACTGCGCCATTTCCAAGTTTAGATTCTGCTGCGCCGTTTCCAAGTTCAGACTCCGTGCCTATAGCTGGTGCCATTGAAAGTCCGTCTTCTCCATCTAGTTCTAAAACGGAAAATGTTAATGAATCACCCGTGGATCCGTTCCCTTTTAATACCGCTGGTAAATAATTCATCTAATAGTTTGACGCACAACTTTGTCATTGCACTACAAATATTCGTATGTACGTCACAAGGAAGCACAGTTTGCAATACACCGCTGTATTTGCCCGGAACCCACTTGCTTGTACAATTTTGTGACAAAATTGCATAAAATATTCCAAACATTATTTTGTTGTCTTTTATACTTCACTATAGATTAAATAAACATGTCAACAACAAATCACGGAATTTCCTCATGATTTTTATCGTCATTTGAAAACATATTTGGTACGATGCCATTGTATGTTCAAATGTAGATTTATTATGTGAACATTGACTTCAAATATTCAATGAATTTGAAGCGTGTTATTTTTCTCAATGTCTTCATTTGTATGCATGACGCATAGCATGTAAAGTAATGTGTTTATGTGTAGACGTTCCATACCAACAATTAACGTGAAAATACACGCAAACGAAAACATCAGATGTAGCAGTGTTTCTTAGACGATATTAAAAAAAAGTTTGTGTTGAAATGGAAATGTATGAATTGGTTATGGTCTTAAGTTAAAGAATGCGGTATTGATGCGATAACGTATGGGAACATGAAATACTGCATTTTTTGGTGATTTTCTGACACAGTTCTAATTTTTATTTTCATAGCGTAATTTACTACCTCTAAAATAGTGTTCTTCAATGAACAAACAGGTAATTACAAGATTTTTAATGCCTTTGATTTTTGCGCTTGAACGCAGAAACAAAATTTCAAGAGAAGAAAACCACAAACACAAATATATTTTCCTCAATTGCAATAATAATTTTACTTAGGAAATTCTTAATGAAGAGGCTTTCGTGAAACTTTGTCCAGGCGAGACTGTGAAATATTTTTTTTCTAGATATATAGATCATTTATCTCATATTCAAAGTTAAAGGCATTTTCAATAAAGAGCACAGTTAAATGAAATAATGAACAAAAACAACTGCAGTAAAACAAATAGAATCTCTATTGTATTGTGTATTGCAAACCATGGTTGTACTGGATACCTATCAATCGAATAAAGTTCTGATAAGGTGTAATGACAGTCATCTTTTGGAGATCTTGGTTAACATCACATTGACTTAATAAATCTTTGACTAGCAAATGGAACTTGGTGGTTGGAAGATAAGCCCACTCTATCATTTAATCAAAACGGGTGGTCGGGTGGCGCAGTGGTAACGCACTCGCCTATCACTTAGCCGTCCGGAGTTCGATTTCCGGAATGGATGTGAAAAGGTATGGGGTCACCTGTCTGACCACGTGGGTTTTATCCGGGTACTCCGGTTTCCTCACACGCTAAGAGCCCTCTCGCTCTTCCATCCGAGTGATTAATATAAGTTGGTAAAACTTGCTTCGTAATTGTTGTAAAATAAATCAATTTTATCATTATTATAACACTTTTGGACTCAAATGTCACTTCCTTAATACAATTATTCACGTTTGGATTGATGATCAAGCATTTTCAATATCGAAAATAAACTATATGAAATATAAGTTAGTTGAGTATTAAAATTTCAGTTATCTGTTGGATTGTCAACATCTTCATCACTATTTTGACATGTTCTTCGATAATTAAACATTTAAAGTCAATTCGAGTTTCCTCACACTCATCTTGTTGCACACTTTTGGCCCTGAGGCATTACTGAAGAGTCATAGACGGACGAATCAGCTGTATGTGGTATTTTCTGTTTTGACAGTATGCTGTATTTTGTATCTTTTTACTATTGGGCGTATTTTGTACAGTTCGTTCTGTTAGTATATGCTTGAAAAAATTTCTTTGTAATTTTGCATATAAATAAGTCATGTTGGCACACAAACAACGTATTTCCCTGAAGCAAAACACTGCGTATATATATCAGTGATGACAATTAACAGTCAATATCTTCGAAGCAGTGACTGTTGTTGATCATGATTGTTTACATTTACACTCATGTCTGTACTTATTTTTGCAAGTAAAACAAAAAATTACTTAATCTCTTTTCAAATTAGGAAATTGATGATATATAAGTTTTTGAAATGTTTAAAGACAAACATGGTCAGCATCTCTTACTCCTGTATTTCTTTTTCTAATATTTTATTGCATGGGTTTGCTAATAACGGGGTAAAAATACTTTATGTAAAGAGAATACCCATTATTGATTCGAGAAATATCTAGTCAAACATTTATTACATGATATTATATAATCATATACTTAATAGGATAGTCTTTTGGAATTTCCAATATGCACAATTTTTTTCAAATTGATTACTCTGTTGGATTAGCAACTCATGAGCATTTGATAAGAAGCGGAAAAAGATCGTCTTAAAATCTTGAACGAATTAGATAATTATATCAATCATACATTTCAAACCTCCGAATCAAACTTCTTTGTTATGTAAATCCTCATAAAATCATATATAAATGATTCGAACTATAGATTGTTTAAGAAATGACAAATTTTGCAATGCTTTTGTTTGTACATATTTATATATATTGAGGGATATTTGCTTTTCTTTGTTTTTCTGCTTTTATTCTGATTTTGTTCAAATGTTTTTTCTTCGACAAGTAAGTTTGGAAATGTATCAAATGGTAAATGTCAAAATACTAATTCTGTTTATTGATAGAGCTTAGCATACTAAGGACAACTATAAAACTATTAGCTTAAAGCTTTTAATCTCTGCATTAGCTAGTGGCTTAATGCTAGTTTGTATACACGTTTGCTTCCAGGCCCCTTCCCTGGCCCTCTCCCTCCCCCTTCCCCTCCACCCGTGATGCCGTTCCGAGAAGTACCTACCTCCGCACAGCTCGGCATTGATCAGCCTCTAATTCGACCTCCACCAGGCTCAAGTATAACATTTATTATTGTATTTTTACTAGATGATTTGTGTAGCGTAAGCCCATTTATATATATATATATATGTATTTGTTGGATAATGTATTTTTATTTTCACATGTAATTGCATCATATAATTTACATTTACAATTTTATAATTGAAAGTGATATTGTTATAATTAACTTCCATGAAATGTTCTGATGAAGTTTCAAAGCTAATCTAATTTTCTAAGAAAAACTATATTCATAGGGCTTTGTTCATCTCTGTCCTGCAAAACAACTTTTAGTTAATTATCTGCAAAGTTTTTGTTTCTATTAAAAGCTACTGGTTTTATTATTATTTGCTGCAGGGAATGTCTTCAGTGATACTGGAAGTATAGGAATCATACCAGCAGTTACAGGTAAATTTGCATCATATTCTAGCTACAAAGATTTAAATGCGTCTGATGAATTTTTATTTTTGTAACTTCAAATAACCTTATTTTGATAATATAACAGCCCTCTGTTAATCGACTATGCTGGATTGACTGTGAAATTGATATTTGCATTTTTACTTATATTCAATATCTTATTGTAAAGATGACATGTTTAAAGGTGGAATTCCAGCTGAGCCTCTCCCCGATGCCGCTATTGCTCCACAGGATCCTGTCCTACAGGATGTTGTCCAGTCGTCAGATTCCACTAATTTTCCCAAGATATCAACAGAGGGCATTCCTATTCAAGACTCCCCTGTCTCTACACAAAACTCACCTATGCCACAAATTCCTTCAAAGGCTGTTTCCGAAAATAGCAAAAGTGAGTAGAACATTTTCATAAATGCTGTCAATAATGAATAAAACTTTCTTTATAAAATATTTCATCACCAAATGTTGCAAAACAAGTTACATGTGGAGTTTTGAAGGGGGTACAATAATATTTACTGTAGTGTAACTAAGCTAGTGATACTTGAGAGTTATCTAACTTAAATCGTTGCAACAACACTACTGATAGTATTCAAAGGAAACAACTTCTTTACTGCAAAAGATGGCGTTCGGAAATATTCAATATTGACATTAATTGAATCGACGACAATGCTGACTATTCAGCAGTATATGAAAATGCCGTCCTTTCAGACTGATTATCCTGAAAACCACTGGCACCGACGTATTTCTTGCCATTAGACGCCAAATGATAATAGTCACTCGAACACAAATTTTCTGAAGATTAAAAGTAAATTGACCCACTTCGGATAGAAATCATGCGGTGTTATGACGATCACTTTGTAAAATGTGCAGGATTTGTCATTATTTTTCTTCGTATCAAACTGTATCGATTTTTTATTTCTTTTTTTCTCTGTATTTTGTTTTTTGTCTGTTTGTTTTATACATAATTTCAAAATTAACTTATCAATTTGATTAGAACGAACGTTTCACGAGAATGAAGGTTGAAATTTAGAGTTTATCTAAGGTAACCAACAGTTTGAATGTAAAAATACGATTTAAATCATAACCTAGATATGTAGCAGTTAGTGCAACGTTCTCGTTAAGATAACGTTGGAATAACTGCGATATTCCTTTTTTGTATGTACTTTAAAATACATTTTTGTGCACACGATAATGTTATCAAGACCTTAATTAAATTTCTAATACTATGCATAACATGGAGGGAAAATCGGTGTTTGATACAAACCTTATAAAAACGTTGGGATTTAATACAGGTGGAATGAAAAAGAAACGTGGTGAGAAAATGATGATGGCTGTTCTTGACCTAACAAATGCTAACAATGCAAACTTAAATGCCATGATTAAGGCTTTACAAAAGCTTATTAAGAAGCCAGTCCGTGAGTAAAAAGTATTGTAATATGATGGAACACTATGTACCGTTTTATTTATGACGTCAGCTGTCTGTGACGTGTTACACACATCAAAATAAACGTTATTTCATATTGCATGCAATAACATTGTGCCCGTGGCATGTTTGTGAAGCTGTCCTTACGTGTCATGTATTTATATTGTTTTGATGGAAACCTTGTATATTATGATATATATCATTTATTGTAATTATCGTATCACATAACTATAGTGTTATATAGCATGCTATGATAAAAGTTGGTAATAGTGTTTGGTGTTTGGAAAATGCCAAATAAAAGCTAATACGATAAATTAAATTGATAATCACATTTTCTTCTTGGTATGAAAATGCTTTTACCTGGTACTTAGTTTGAAGTTCAGAAACCAACTACCATTTTTGTGATGTCACTAAAAACGAAAGTCACCTGACTATGAAACAGTGTATGTAATAATATCGAGACATTGCAAATATCATTTTAGTGTTTTGTGTATTAAACGTAGAAATCTATTTATATTGAAATGTTCTATACCATTTAAATTTTTAAGAATGCCAGTTGTGCATATCTGAATCGGTATTAGATAGTAATTTACTAATTGACAATTCAAGTTTTTAAACGCCACTCAAAGGAGACAAAAGTGAAATCATATATTTATAGAGAATTAAATTCTCCAGCACGTTTTCTTTCAGTTGCTGAGACGGTTGACCCTTTTCCAGGACTTAGTTTCCCATCGGGTCCAAGTCTACTGGGAAATCCTTCCTTCAGAACAGATATTCCCAATCCGCCTGATGCTATCATTCAGCTTACAGAAATTCCCAGACCTTCTGACGCAATCATCCAAGGTCTACCAGGTTAGGTTATAGCAAATCAAATGCCTTTAAGATCAGTATTTTTAAAGACCGAAGAAAACTCTTCAGTGTTTTATGTTAATTATGCATCAGTGTTTTATGTTTTAATTATTTCTAGACAGAAACAAAATTGAATTAAAAAAACAATTCTTAAAGTGTTATTCAGTTTACAATAATTGCTTATAGTACTACACGAGAGTTGCTTTTTGCTTACGAGTCGATTTTCTCTTGTTGGTCCTGTTAGACGAGATAATGTCTCCTCGTTAAAAGGCCCAATCAGTCAGAATATTATTTCTCCCCAGGAAAAAACTCAACATAACTCAACATACCCGCCCTCAGACCTCTCATTTTCTTCTGAACATGACAATTGCCTAGTGTTTCTAATTGCACTGTTGGTGGTTTTGAGGAAGGGTAACAACTCTGATTCACTTGCACAATATCTTATGCATGGGTTGTAATGGATCTGCATATGTCAACTCAAAAAAGCTCAAGATACACATTACGACGGATATAGACGTTGTTTCATACTTAAATTTACTCAGTTGAGTTATGGACTGTTATTTTCTTTGATATTTACGTATCCGAGTATGAAGAAATATAATCAATATAATATATCAACAGGCTATGGAGCAAGGAGAAAATTAATATCAAATACATATTCGGAAAAAACAACAATAAGCAACTTCATAATATATTGACATGTGATGAAATAAATTTCTTCTTTTTTTTCAGCAGAGGAATTTGCTCAACCATTAGCATTGTAAAACTGGGACAGTTTCATTACTTATTCGGTAAGTATAGAATCGTTTCGACTGCATTATGCTTCATGGATTGCTATTTTCATTTTTTTGTTAATAGTTTTCTAGACTCTTCAAATAAATTCAAAATATTAAATTCTAGAAAAGAAGACTATTTCATAACAGTAAATGAATAAATAAAATTAAATTTTGAAAATAATGATGTCGAAAACAATATATACGTTGTACTTTGAGATCTGGCACTATTCCAACGCGAAGTTATCACGTATATGACCACTGTTGGATGTTATACTCAAACAAATCTTATGTTTCAACGCTGTATCTGGTGTGTCTTTTTTGAGATACAGCAACACTTCCCATCCAGACCTTCTGGATTTGCCTTTGCTTTCCAGCATGAATTAATATGGAATCCTTCATTTCCGATATAGCCATAGTTTGTGTTTTTATGTCGGTGTCTAAGGTAATATTATATCATGTTTCTGTACACTGAAGACCTAGTTTAATTATTTTTTAGTTATTAGATTTGTCGGTGAAGTTTTTGAAAAATTGAAAAGTATCACAATACTGCAGTAGCGATAAAAAGTGGACGTACTATTGTGTTTGTTTCAATACCCTGCTGATTAAATGCAGACCTTTATTTTTATTGTGTAGGTATTGAGAAGACCACTTAACGCCCATCTGAATACTTCGTTACTCATGGATAACCCTGACCTACAGATACTAGAATAACCAACCAGTATTTTAAATACTGAATCAAATGTTAATTAAGTGCAATTTTCACATACATTTTTTTATTTTGATATTGTGTCTTTGATTTTTGTATGCTTTAGAATTTAATAAATTATAGTTATCAATAATTTTACTTGAGGCTTTCTTTTGCTGTTAATACAAAACAGAACCTAGAACATTTGAAACTTACCTGATGTTTTGGTCTTATATTTAAATATACACTCCGCATGGATCTGCGGTTTGTTACCATAATGTATGTGTACATTTTTATAGACAATAGATCGGCCTATACATCTGTGTTATAACCTATCATTACAAAAATTATGAACATACGAATTCTTACGAGGTATGACGTATCGCTTTGTTGGTTAGTCATTTATCAATGTCCAAGGTTTTATCAGAGAAAAGTTCATGATTGATGTGTGCATTTGTCAACAGCGGTTCAGTGTATTTTTATTCAATATTGAACACGTGTTGAAATTGCTATGAAATGTTACTGACGGTCGGTCAAATTGTAGTTACTTATTGTTGCCTGTTAAGATATGACATTTGTTCCAAACTCGATTATGATTTCATTTCGATTATCGCTTTGTTTTCTAAGTATCTGTTACCCACCAACTCAGAAAATTGACATCAAATTAGTAGTCTTTCTTTTAACGCTGGTCATCATTGATTAACTTTCGTTTATCACGTTTTTCAACAGCTTTATCTTAACCTGAATTGGTGATTTTTTTAAAAAAAAGTTTGTGAACAATTGTAAATTAATTGCCATATAATTTTACTGTTTATACAAGCAAAGATGACAGAGGAAGGATATTATCATATCATAATACAGTACAATATGATAATATTTAAAGGATGTAGGGAGATTAATAGCATAGGTTGTCAGTGATATCGTCAGGCAAGACTAATGATATAATAATATGTTATATACTATCAAACAAGTTTTTATTCTATAACAATATTCAATGGAAGGTCGTACCAAGCTTAATAGTATAGTAACAACTGCTTTGGCTTGATCAAGACATTTCACTTTCACTGTTCTTGATGGTATACGACAAATAAGTTACAATAATGTAGTCACCAGTACTACAAGGATATTCCGCCTTAAATTACCGTGGCTGTTCATGGTGAGATAAATCCAGCAGACACTCTAGACTTCTTATGTCTCTGATTAAGTCATTTCCAATTGTCTAAACATAATATTCCTTGAAGATAGAGTAGATATATACTATCATAATTTCTTGCAGTTGAGAGGATTGTGCCACATGTGTTGCAGCGCCGAGGATTATACTTCTAGTGCACCTATTGTACTCTTCATGTCATTAAATTGTATTATTTTCTTTTTTTATACAACTCAGTTAATTTTTTGTTACTATTCATTTACAGGTAGGTAAGTTTTAAACAAAACGACATTTTAGAAGAATTCATCAATTATTGTTTAATCAAAATACAGTGTTTATGTACAGGATATCATCATAGCACAAGACGCCAGATGGTAATGATAAAATGATATCATGAAAAATGAAAAGCACATGATTAAAAAACATACGTCTCTCTCACATATTCCTGGTCGACTGATTAAACTGGTCATTGACCTGATAATTAACAATTATATCAAACAATGGCATATTTACAAGAACGATAAGAAAACATAAAATAATGATATGTATTTCTGTATAAAATATTAGCATAACTTTTAAATGACATTCGGTGATATTTGTTTTCTATTTGCGAGGCCACGATTAGTAAGAATAAACATTTCAAACACTATAAATGAATAAATTAACATGTATCTTTACAGCGTTGAAATTAAATAATATCTTCTGAACAACGATACGTGGATAATTGGTGGAAGGTAATCACTATTAACTTGAATTGAATATAAGTTTAGCGACGACAAACACAGAAAATGTCGATCGCCCATTTCCTTTAAATTGGTTCTGTCGACAGAATATCCTCATAATATATTCTTCTTAAACTGATACAGGAATCGGTATTGCCTGCAAAATAAAGATACAATGAATGTATTGCTATCATATGATGGTTTTGTCTTCTTAAAGTCTACTTCATTGTAGTTGAAATTGTAATCAGTCATTTTCATTAAACTGTAATGACACAAAGATATTCACAACGTTATTTTGTTGTAGATATCTTTTATAGTGGCCAAGTTAGATCCTGTTTCGACTTCATTTATGCATGCATCCCTTAGTTCCTGCACAAAATATCTAAATTGCAAAATCTTCCCATAAATGTCGCAAAACAAATTGCTGAAGAAGTAAACCAATCCTGAAAAGGCTGCATCTTTTTCATTGAGAAGCTGTACATATCATGACAAGTAGCCTCTTTTGAAAAAAGCCTTTGTTTACATAAGGTTATTAAAGATGTTGGCTTGGTTTGTTTGCTGACTTTCATGGAAATGTAAGTATACTATGGAATTGAAGGCCGTGTTACTAGTAAACAACCCTTTCAGACTTTTATTATATTTTTATCAGTGTGATATTTCTCTATATTTCAGTGGCAAATTCTTTTTATATGTGATTCTTGCTTCATAGATTGGTGCCTGTGTCTAGTCTCTGTCATATTTCATCGTATTTTAAATGAATAAGTCATCCTTTAAAGCATGAAATTTATAAATGTTATAAAATTGGACAAACCAGTTACTGCATTGGATAATCGAGTATCTTGTAAGATATTTAAGTACCTGACTAGCTGTTGGATCCCGGATAGGAATAGGAACAGCAAAAGGTTGGTCACTCATGATGGTTACAGGTCCCTCGCCTGGAATATCGCTCTCAGCAGAAATTGTGTTGATTACTTGGACCGGGGTAACTGGCGGCAGTGAATTGCCAGAAACAGAACCATCCATTGCTACAGCTGTTGCTGTTTCTTGTTGAAAAGTCGCTGGAAGTACACCCGCTTGCATCGCATTGTCTGCTATGGTCGGTTCATTACTAGCCATAGTGATTGCTTTAATACATATAAAACAGATGCGTTGATCAACCTTGAGATTTCATCAAAACCTACTTTTTAGTTGCAAAAATAAAAAAATATGAAATAAATGAACTTTATCAAGTACTAATATTCACACTGAAAGGTCATGATGAAGTTGTTAATACTTTACTTACATGCTGACAGTTCCCGCACGAACTTTCTCATGTCGTCGATATTTGCACGGGATGTTAGCGGGACAATTGCAAAGATTGGCCCCCTTCTACCTGATGGCTGCATCCCAGAGAGTGAATCTGCAAATGCACTGGAGAATTGATCTGTAGATAGTGTACGAAGATCTTGCGCCAATGTACCTTGAGCCGCTGTAGCAGTCCTGGAAGCAGCGATAGCTGCTTGGGCAGCTGCAGCATCTCTAGCTGCCTGTGATGCTACAGCTGCAGTTCGTGCGGCCTGTGATACAGCAGCATCTCTTGCCGTTTGGGAAGCAACAGCAGCATTTCGGGCGGCCTGGGATATAGCAACATCTCTTGCTGCTTGAGACGCAACAGCAGCATTCCTAGCGGCCTGTGATGCTGCAGCATTTCGGGCGGCCTGGGATATAGCAACATCTCTTGCTGCTTGAGAAGCAACAGCAGCATTCCTAGCGGCCTGTGATGCTGCAGCATTTCGGGCTGCCTGGGATATAGCAACATCTCTAGCTGCTTGCGATGCAGCAGCATTTCTGGCGGCCTGTGATACGGCTGCATCTCTTGCTGCTTGAGATATAGCCACATCTCTTGCTGTTTGGGATGCAACAGCAGCATTTCTTGCTGCCTGTGATTCAGCTGTAGCAATATTGATAGCTGCTTGGTTTCGGCGAGCATTCAGGATAGCTATTCGTTGTTGTGCAGCCGCAGCTCTGGCAGCTTCTTGTGCTGCTAGTGAGGCAGCTGATGATTGAAGAGTTGCAGCCGGTAGAAATACTATAACATAATAGCGGAAAGAACTTAAGCTCTTGCACTGTCTAACTTATTTATCAATTTCCTTATGCATCAAAGAAAACAGCATTTAGATATTTTGAAACATCAGTATCAATAAATCTTGGTGATATAGTCGTATATCAAATTAGTACGATAAGCATGCATTATAGTGAGTGTTTTCAGTAGAACATGCGTTAATATTTTCTCTGTTAATTTGTGTGTGTGTATATATATATACACTGTACTGTTTCAAATATAAAACCCTTGTTGCACATTCTATATCATTGCATAGACAAGGTATTTGATATCGTACTTACCAATGTTGGCCTCGTTTGTACTGCCTGTCGATCCAGTCGGCCAAACTTTCACCGCGAATGATGAAATTTGAGTTTTTAAAGAATATCTTACCTTTAGAAATAATTCTAGAATGACACCTCTTCCCGTTTTTTTTTTAATGCACTCTCTCTCGTTTCCGAGTATGTTTTCACAATTCTTTGTTTTTATTTTTTATTGGTATTAGTCACTTTACGCATTTAGTGTTATATCAATTTGATATTAACACTTTTTGTGAACTTTTTATGGAATAAAAGTTTCAAGGTACTGTCATTGCCCCACCTTTACCCACCCAACCTCTTCAACTCCCATAAAAATGTGTTATACGTGGTTATATAGAAAAGCAGCGAGCGATTGTGCAAGGTTAGTGCAGTAGTGTATCTTTATTGTTATTATTTATTAGTCTCATTGATAAACAGAAACCTTCAAAATGTAATTCATGATTTAAAAACTTATCAACCTCCGTAAATCTTGCTATAGGCATTATTTTGAGTCTCATAACATGCATATAGATTCTTGAAGGTTGACTGAGCTATACATAATAATATTAAACTGTAAACTAACTTTCTCTCTTACTTGCGCTAATTCCAGATCGATACATACTCGGGAAAGTTTGCCGCCGTGAAAGAGGACATTCGTTCCTCACAAAGAGTTTTATACATTTTGCCGTGTAATATATTACGGTATGTACAACAAACGTCAATAGCTGTACAGTTGACGTGGTGAGGAAATATCCAATAAGCCATGAAAGAAAGTTAATTTACAGTACTACTTTGAATCATAATATCATTAAGATTCTGAACTTGTTGGGTGTAAATAGCAATGAAATATTTTAATTATATTTTCATTTTTTTAAAAAGAAATTCAGATAACATATACAGAAGATGACAGGTAAGAATATAATGATGTGAAATCACGTACATTAAAGATGTACATCCACGAAGTACTCCTGCATATAACATAACGACAGCATTTTTGATATTTTCAATAATAATGAAAAGTTCTGCTAGGTTGTTGATATGTTTATTTTTTAATCTCTAAATTCAATGTATTACATTCACAAAGACAATCAATTGTCTTTGAGATGTATGTAATAAGAAGCATAGCTCAAAACTATTGACGTCTATAAGTAAATTTGGTTGTGAAAGATGAAAAAATTGACAGTTATGAGGTATACTGTTGCTCAACATTGTCTTTCATCATAATCCTTCCAACCTGTGTGATAAAACTACAATGACTACAGTAAACTACTAAGACGATGAAATGAATTGAACATATAATAAAATGATATAATGATGCTTGTATATAATCGACAGTTTCTTGTTGATCAGAGTACGTATCTGTGTTAAAACCAGAAATAAGTGAAACATATATCATTACTAATTCTTTTCAGTATTACACTGTACCAATCAGAAAAATTATACAAGTCATGTTTATCAACTTCGATAACACAGATCGAGATGAAATAGAAGAATTATCCGTTAATACAGTGTTATACATAACAATTTCAAAAGAAAAAGTCATCTGTTTGCCCATCAAATAATAATTACAAATGTCTGTTCATGTATAATATTACATTTATATTTTATCTTAAAACATTATTTACAGGCGAATAGAAAAATAAATAAATATAAGTAATTCTATATCTAGTGATACTAAAACGCAGTCTTTGATTAACAAGCGTTAATGGCATGTGCTGTGCTATATGATTCACGTTAGTTGTTAAATTTTAATCACATATCAAAGATAATCATGATTCAGGGTTTTACCACTGAATTATGGATGTTATGTAGAAATTAATATACTGAATAATAGTTATAATATATTATTGTGATATTAATATACATGTAGATATGGGGTTCCGTGTGATTCAAACACCAGAATTACAATTTTTTTCATTCTGATATTATGAATATAATGTTTAGTCAGCCGTAGCACATATGGATATGTCGTCACTGTTATTAGGTATTGTTACAGTGTTGTTATTCATGCGTTCACACTACGTAACACTTAAGGGTCGTCAAAGCTGGGGCCGAATCTGACCTGCTGTCTGAGCGTCAAGTCCTGAAAGCCCTGATATTCCTGAAAAGGAAGAAGCAAGCATTATTTCAGTCAGTAGATCAGAAAAGAAAATTTGTGGAATATATAGGTAGTGCAACAGACAATACCGACATGTCAACAGTATCTTAATTCAAACTCAAGTCCTGTGAAACTAGGGCAAAATATGAACATGGAATTATCTAGAAGCAGACAACTGAAAAAGTACATAGAGATTATGACCAAATGCCCCTATAGGGAAAGCGTATTCAGCATCAATCACATTTAAAGACATTTTAATTCTATTGGTTACATTTTACTTGACTTTTACTCTACCATTATAGTTGAACAAGTTTCAACTATTTATTTTTTTCATGGTCTTTGTAAAATCAACGAATTAATGTTAAAAGATGTAACCGAATCACTGCTATATTTCTTAACATACTGTTTGATAAGATATTCTTGCTATTCTAAATTTAACACACATACAAATACTTATAAGTGCTTATTAGGCATTACATTTGGTATCACATATAGCATAAAGACATACACGTTTTAAGCTATGTTAGCAAAGAAACACTATATCTCACGATGTAAGTTGCTGCATTGACAAATATCCACAAATTTAACGAATGATTTAGCGTTGTCGTACCTGTTCCTCCTCCTAAATTTTCTAAGTTGGTCGTAAACTGTGAAAGATCCACTTGGTTCAGTGAAAATCCGTCTGTGGCAGTATTACCTGTTGAAAAAATGTTGAAATTATTCCTTTTGAATATTCTGAGTAACACTGAGGAACAATGTTAGCATAACGAACAAGATGGGCGTGTTCAAGGTGATAAAAGTTTTACCAGTTACATCATTATCAAGTTTTTAAAAGAAAGTGTATTTGCGTTTTTCAAAATTTAAGATTTCAATGTTATTAACCGACTTATTTTGAATATATTTGTATAAAATATTCACTAAAAAGAAATAATGATATATCAATAACAATTTTCTCACTCACCTAGGACGCACTTTGCGAATAAATATTATATTGATTGAAAAAAGTCAATAAATTATTTACACAATACAATTCATTCATGCAAGTGATGCAAAATGTAATCCAATTTTAGATAATCATAAATGTTTCAAGCATGACAGTTTGGCTATTTCATGTTAATAAGTTTCTCGCGAACATGTGCAAAGCCCCAGTTTTGGATGCTTTGTAAAAATATAACTACATTGTATCATAAAACGCCGCTAAGATGAATAGCATTTGGTTACATACTAATATTCACGTTGGAATGCTGACCTGACGCAGGTGCCATATTTGTTGTTAATGATTCGCTGACCCTTTGTTGGCGGGACTGTTGCTGCATTAGTTCATCAAGCATAGCCCAATCTACAGTGTTTGTTAGAGACGATGGTCGTTGTGAGGTGGGGGCTGCTGTAAGTACATATAGAGCGCAAATCTACAAGCCAGCTGTTAGTACTATGCTATGTATATGCTAATATATGTTATATCCGACACAAATGACAAGGTAATCAATAAGTATTATTTTAATGAGTATCTAAAACATCTAAAATCTAAAAAAAAAAACATTATTAAATGTCCGGTAGGTAATTGATATCAATGTTTTAAAGACACGAGGGTATATGACAGGTGTCATTGTACTTTAAGTAACTCTGGCCAACATATGTTAAGATGTGATTAATAATGTAACTATATAATGTTTCGTTCAATGTCATTTGTATAAAGACGTCGCACAAAAATTTTAAAACATCATCTGATGTCATGATTCGTCCTCCATCAACATCGAACATTTCGAAAGGGGTGTTGTGTTAGTCTTACAAAGGAGAAAATCGTTGTTAAGAGGAAATATCACATTGTTATAGAGTTAATGTTTGGTGAATATGAACACATGCAGGCAGGTTAATATTGATAAAATGCCAAGAAATACAGCACACATAAATATATTCTGAACAAAGCGCAATTCTGGAAATCTGAAATAAATAATTCAATCATTCATATTTGCGTTGGCGGCAAACAAACAAACAAAAAACAAAAATATAAAGCAAAGCTTTTATATGGTTTTATTTTATTATTGACAACAAAAAAGATGAAGCATTTTTCTATATTGAATGATTTGTATGATGTTGAAAAGCGATAGCATCCAAGAGTAAGCCCGTAACTTTGCGTGCTAAATGCAAAAAAAGTGCGGTATTTTCTCGAATATACAAGAATTTAACAGCTTTATGGTTATAACTTAAGCATACAGCATCACACAAAGCAAGGTAAACGAATTTACTATTACCAGGGATCCACACGGTATCCGGAATATTGTGAACAGTGACAGTTCCTTCTGACACAGGAAATCCTAAGCACAATAAAGGTAAACCAAAGCATCGTCATACTATGTGTATTTGCCATATGATAGCTCTGCATAATTACATCACAATAAATGTTTATTGGAATTATTGAATTCAAGCTTATCTTTCTTTTATCATAACATTGTCGTTTCCGTTGTATAAACATAGACTTCTTAAAAACGGTATCTGATGTATTTTGTTATATACATACATATATGAATACTGGCACGAACCTGAATCCTGTATAAAAGTTTCCGGTGTATTAGACTGTGAAATGAAGGGAATGTTACCTCCAGTATCAACAGTCTGCTGTATGTTTGGTAGAATTGTCACCATGCCACCATTTGGATGAGCTTGGGAAATGCTGCTACTGAACGGAATGTTACTTGTAATACTGACGAAATTTCTTCTTTGTTGTCCAGCAGGAAATATTTGTTCTACGTTCGGTAGCTGTGAAATGTCCACAGGTGCTGACGTTCCTTCAAAGGTTTGTGATGGTGGAATGACTTGCAATGAAGTACTGAATTGTGGAGAGGGTTCGTTAGTTGATTGAAAAGAAGGAAGATTTACATTGTCACCTCTCATTTGTGAATTGATGCCCTGTTGTACAATTCTATTTATCAATGGAAAAGTCACCGCTGTATTGCTACTATCTTGTGGAATTTGTTGCTGATTGTTAAATTGATTCATGAAGTTATTCATAACCTCAGTTCTGTCAGAAACAGACGAAGGCGGATCCTGAATTTGAAAGTTTGTAGTTCCTGGTCGGAACCATTCTGCAGGGATCTGTGTGACGGGCATTTGGTCATTGCTGGTCAACTGATTCACTTCAGTTTGGAGTCGAGTTTGAGGTAACTGGCTGTTGATAATCTGTTGATTAACGCTCGTACGAAATGGAGTGGAAAGTTGATTGGTGCCATGCTGATTAGAGTTGATGTTTCCATTTGGGGCGGTAAACCGCTGGGCAGTACTGGCTATTATGGAGTTCAGATCTCCTAGAATAATACATTCTTCGTTCTTTACGTAGATTTCACGATGTCGTTAACATACGCTAAAGCAATTAATTGCTTTTTTCCATTTATGATCCGAATGTACATGCGTATAACAAAGCCCGTTTTGCTTGTATAATGGATCTCAGGAAGGAAAGCCATCAATGTAATATCATATTATAAAGAATAGAGAAACAATTATCTTCTGGATATGGAATCAGTCTTTGATGAGTTGGGAAATGGTGATCATTCAGAAAAAGACAAAAATACAACAGCTAGTTAACAAACATAAAGAGATAGGAAGAACATATGTTGACTAACCAGCTGGGACAGATGTTGGTAGCCCTGTCATTGACTGTTGTGCTCCATTTCTACCTAACACGTTCTGCATGATGTTCCTTGCTGCCGTAGTACTCATCACTGTTTCATCATATGATAATGATCAATAAATGTAACTGCTGCAGGTATTCCGATACTCATTACATGCTTATAAGTTCAAAACATGTAAAACATTACGAAACTCATAGCAGACAAAATGGTAGAGATATAAACTATAATTTGGGGTATGTATTCTACATATTAATTCATTGTCAAAATCACATCATTCAATTGATATAAACAAGAAAACGAAAAGATAGAAATAACAAAAACAAACCATTTTGACCTATACCAGTATTCCCAAATGTGCCTGGTTGCGAACCCCTAAACCGGGAACCGAACGGTGTCAATGATCTGCCAAGATTTCCTGTCAAACATGAACTTGAATCTAATCAAAATCTTAAACAAATTACCTAAAGATTCAAATAAAGTTATCAACATGAATTTGGATTAACAGATGGCAAAATAGTTTCGAAACATGGTAGAGACATGTGAGGACATGTGTTAAAGGAATATTGACAGAGCCATAAATTAGTGGTGAACGATACTTAAGTTAGCAAATTGTCAGTATAAAGTGTTGCTGAAATACATTTACTGTTCTGAGCGATAGAAGAAAAAATGACCTGCACGACATATGGACATAACCATCCCTATACGATCTCCAAAGCTCAGATATAACTATGATATAGACAAGGAAGCAACGACATGTGATTTGAACTAAACAAAAAACATATGACATCAACAATAAGTAGCCATGGAGTAGTAAAACAGATAAAAACGTAATCGAAACAAGAGCAAACGTTTCAATGACACACACTGAGATAACAAGAACAGCGCACAAACGAACCATTAAAAGTTCTGACCGGCTGTTGACGACTGTTTAGGAACTCCCTCCAGTTGCCAGCGATCGGACTAGGCGTGGTGGTGGTCGTAGTACTAGTTGTACTTGTCGTACTACTAGTCGGGTAAGCTATACATTCATAGTGGCAACAAGATCATTGAAAAATAATCAACATAGTAAGAACGATAAAGATTTATCATGTTAAGAATGATTTGCTTCATCAGTTATCATAAAAATGATCTGTTCTGAGTATACGTGTTTCTGATTTGCTAGTATCCACAAATAGCTCTAATTAGATATTAAAAGGATTGTTTTAGAAGTGTGTGGGAGATAAAACACACCTGGTAGACCGAACGCCACGTTGATCTGTGACATGTTCCCAGCATTCGCAAATAGTGAGTTCAGGGGAGCTGGGACTGTGTGGGCAGTAGAATCACAATAAATATCGCTGTTCACAGGTAAATATAATCAATCATTTAAAATTCAGATTAAGAGAGAATTAAGTTTTACATTCACTAATAAAAATTTTGATTACTTTTCATTCTTTTGAAACTGGTTGTGAACTATAGATATTTACCTTGTGTAATGAACGTTATTACATATATAATAAGAAGATATCAGCTAATACTTTACCTTTATCTACAAAGTTTACCTGCACGGTTTGATAATATTAATAAAAAGTATTAAACAAACTAAATATTCCAAGCTCTAATGTTCGCTAATTTACAGCTATCAGCAGTAGACATCAATCATTTTGTTTTTGTTTTTGTCGTTAAAACTTCTGGAAAGTACCTCGAATCACAATTAAAGATGCAATTAAGACAGATTATCACTATGTACTACGTGTATATATATATATATATGTAATTTACATACCTGTTAGCGTTCTGATACTAGCCTGCAATTAACTCTAAAATATTGCACCATAGCCATGCAATAGAATTAAGCGTTTCAATCTATAAAAAATATGAATGACTATAAACTTCTTCAGGATTATCCGTAGGTCTCAGTAAAAAAATGATTAATTAAAGGAGTTCATATGAAGTTCGTAATTACATGAGATGTATAACTGATAATTCTATATTATAGAACATACGCTGTTATGGAATTAATTAAAACAAATATAATCTTACTTACATTATTCATCTGTGCCTATAGATCTAGAAGAGCTTCATATGTGTCGCCACTTTGGAGCGGAATTTGTTACTTCCGTCAGGCATGCATGCACTTTACATATCTAGCCAACTAGAGCTTCGATTCTACCTTCAAGCTCATAATGCGTTATATCACATTATCAAAATCACAGAACATGCAATAAATCCTTCAACAGACAAAGCAACTGGTCTCTATCTATGACGCAATCTGAAAACGCATCGTTCACCCTCAAACCTGGCTGAAATATGTTGTTTAACGCTTCTAAGCGTCTTCTGGCCAGTCTTTGGTCAGGTGTAAGGTTCTGTTCCTCATCAGGATCTGCAAACGACGTGTATACTGAAGTACTACTGCCATTTTACACAGTACCAAATTAAAGTGTATGTTTGTGTTACAAAGTCATTTATTCAACCATTTTGAAATTCAAAGACACAAAAAACACAGATCTACATATGTTTCGGATGATATATCAATTCTACTGATGAAATATTGCAAAATACCTAAATCTTTAACCGAAACGAAGAGGATTTTTTATCATATAGTGTAGAATCAAGTCGGAATACAAATATCCTATCTATGAATATTTTGTATTTTGTAAAATGTTTAGAATCTGACGATTCAATTAAACTAGTAATTTTAAATATTCATATATGACAAGTAATTTGATTTATCTTATTTGAAATAACCATCATTTTCACGACCAGACAATTCAGTTTCGTAGCGCCATTATCCCCCATCATATTTTTATTCTCTTTTGAAAACAGACGGATGATACATACGATTAATAGAAGGCTACTTATACACATTACACATGGTATGGGTCAGGTGTGGAGATAATTACTTTCTAATCGGCATTCGAGTTTTTGTTTTTATATTTTCAGATATTTGTCTGGTTTAACAATCTACAGCGGCTGTTAAGACATGTATCACCTGCTGCATTTTGTGTGACACTTTTCCATGAGTCAGCTGATATTTGAAGGTTACATAGGTTGATGAATGAGTTACATGATACATCATTGTCCTTTTACATCCGTAACTTATGTACCAATTAAACATGTAATGTTGCTTTTATGTAATGACCAACTGACATTTAAAAGAAGATTTTGTTTCACTGTCAGTCTTCTCTCAGATAAAGAAAGCTGTCAAATTTTATTTTAATGATGTCAATTGATCATTGAATACTTAGATTTTGAATTATCTTTAATAAAAATTTGTAATCTCAAGCTTTTTAAAATTCTTATTACTTAACAATTTCTCGTTTTCATTTTGCTATGCAGGAAGAACTGTTGTTCTTCCAAAAACAGAATATCATAATACTTAACTTTTAGTTTGATAATGAGATGACAAACTCGTCAAAATGACAATGTACTGAACAGCTACTTCATTGTTTCAAAGTATAAACAAAAAGTTTGATATGTATGTGACTTAACACGGTATCAAATAATTGGTATGTAAGGTTTAAAATAACTTCAGATCTAAAGGAAGAAAAACTTTGTGACAAATAGCTGTCTCTTTAGCGTTCAGTGCACTTTGAAATTACCAGGTGACCAGTGTTCCAGTCAGAGTTACTCAGTATATCATTGCATATTTCCCCTTCTTGCATTCCAGATTTTATCCTACCATCATTTTTACACTTTTTCTCCTCGATACACTTTGAATTATACCGTATATCATAACATTACTACAAAGATTTTTTCACGCTAATTTATTACATTTGGTCAGGTTTGTGTCATACTTACATTTTGAAAGGCAAACATCTAAATATATGTGCATGATAATTTTTTTGAAAAATTAGTCCAAAGAGTCAATATCCATTTTACAGTTAATCCAGTGAACAGTTGTTCACATAACAATGCATTGCCTATCGGCTAATTCATGTTGACGGTTGACCTATGTATGCTTCTCCACTCTGTGTGATAACCACTCTATTGGCCGGATCAACATCCCCGTCTGGACTTCCTACATTCTCTATCATTCTGGCTACATCCATGCCTTGTACAACCTCCCCAAACACAACATGCTTGCCATCTAGATATGATGCCTCCGCCATTGTGATAGCGAATTGAGACCCGTTAGTGTCCGGTCCGGCGTTCGCCATAGCTACTATTCCGGCCTTGTAGTGATTCAGGATAAAGTTCTCGTCTTCAAAAGTACCTCCATATATACTGTGACCCCCTGTGCCATCACCTGTCGTGAAGTCTCCACCTTGTATCATAAATCCGGGAATGACTCGGTGAAAGGTGGAACCAGCATAGCCATACCCATTTTCTCCAGTACATAGAGCGCGGAAATTAGCGGTAGTGATAGGAACTATGTCATCAAACAAGTAAATAAGTATTTTCCCTACAGGTTTGCCACCAATGGATATGTCAAGATAACAAAGACTTCTGTTTGTGAATGAAACAGTTGGATTTTGTGTAGGTCCGGCACTTGTCGGCAGAGAGAGACTGCCTGTGTTTATACTGTTAATATTAGCATTGCCCTGTATCCCTGGCTGATCATTGGTTACACCAGACTGACCAGGAAGGACACCATTCAAGCCCGGAAAGGCACGGATCTGATTCGGTATATTGCTACCTGCAGTCTGACCCTGAAACATCTGAGCGCCGACAGCACTATTTTGTCCTAAAACGGTTTGTGGCTGAGCTCCAAAAGCGTTTTGCTGTTGGAATTGTGTCAATCTCGGTCTACCTAATGGACTTGCACTCGGAGGTATTACAGTGCTCTGAACAGGGAAGAATCCATTCTGAACTGGAACGGCCCCATTCTGGACAACAAGAACGCCATTCTGACCAGGAAATGCAGTAGTTTGAACAGAAGATGCTCCATTCTGAAGACGAGGTATAACACCGTTGGATACAGTAAACGCCCTATTCCTTACAGGCAATATGCCATTTCGAAAAGGTAACAAGCCGATTTGACCCTGTATTGTACCAGTCTGACGAGGAAATACTCCATTTTGAAAAGGAATTGCGCTATTTTGATTGGCCCGTGTTGTAAAGGGGACAGCAGTTTGGATACCAAATCCGTTGGATTGCGCATTTGAAATACCAGCACTTACAGGAAATATACCGGATGCTATTATAAGAAAATAAAACATGACCTTAAATTAGTGAAATTAACACTTTTGTAAATATCAACATAACGCCCATGTGCAAAGGTCTACGTAATATTCTAGTCAGGAATATCCAAAAGCAAATCTGTAGTGAACAAAAATCAGTCTTGTAGATAATGTTCATGACTGATTGTTCATTACCCCTAACGCCATGACAAGTTTCAACACAACAATGTTTCTGTAAGTAGTTTTATCTGATATCCAAAAAGGAATACTGATGAAGTAGTACAATAAGATGTGGAGTTAAAATTAAGATATTTTGTAAATACAAACTAATCCTTAACCGCAGTAATATAAAGTAGCATTTGTTCGTTCAAAACTGTAATACTGGACATACGTCTATATAAGCATCATATCATATTGATTTAAACAGATTAGTTGCAAGCTTTAATGGGTTTGGAAAGTTTGTTGGCCCGGATGTAAGTGCGCAAAGGGGCCTGTTTATTGGAGAAAGCCGGAGTACCCGGGGAAAACCCACGTATTCGGACAGGCGACTCCTTTTAACGTTCTTTCCAGGAATCGAACCCCGGGCGAATAGGTGAAAGGTGAATGCGTTACCACTGCGCCAACCGACCACCGAAAAGATTTAATACAAGTGAATTATCTCTCGTGAAAATATTAGACCTGCGAAATTGAAAATTATAAAGTACAGCATACACCATAGTACTGCTACGTTAAAGACGTTCCCGTCTTAAAATTAAACTTATCATATAAATCGACCTCCTCATGCTATTTCAGCAATCTCACGTCATGAACATACAAATGGTCCTTCTGTCGAGGAGGCAAGATGTTTACTCTTACCAAACACTTGCATTTATTCTTCCTCGCCATTTTCACGGGTCTCTGTTTACATATATTCATCGGGTTGGAATTTAGGTTTGTATTGCTCTATCCAGAAACACGTTGAACACTTTTATAATGCCAAATGAGATGAAACGACTCAATATTATAAGGTGTGTAAAATTGAGACCACATCGTGAAAGGGAAGGTCAAAATTGTCTTGCATTCAGTCAGGTTCGTAGTAGTACAAGGTCATTCAGCGATTAAACTGATTCAATGCATAGATAAATGAGGCAGTTAAAATGTAGGAACTGCGTTATGTGTATGGTCTTGGCATGTTGCATTGTTACTGGTTATTTTCAGCATGGTTCGTTGAGATCTACAAACTCACTACTACAATAGAATGAAGTATGAAAGTAAAAAGCATGCATGTGCGTAGAAGTTCCTCGGACAAATAACGGATCTTTTTCTCTGCAACGAAAACCTTTCTATAAATGTAGAGAAATTAAATGATATCTACAGCCAATTCTAAAACTAGGATCCATCACCAAAGATGTTAAGGAGAATGCTTACAATGGAATAAATTAAAGGTAAAAAGATCTTACCTGTTCTACCCCTTGTTGCTCCTACAGGTGAGGTCGCCACATTAGTACCTATTCTCCTACGAAGTGGATTGGTGGTAGGTATTCTGCGGACTATACGTTGTAATGATAATACCAGTATTATTACAGTTCAACATTTTCATGCATTTATTACATTTACATTGCATTCTTGTAAAAATAAAGTCTTATAGAAATAATTATCTTTTTTTTTGCTTAGTAATTTCAAGATCAATAATCAACTGAATTCATACAAATTTTCTTTTAAACAAAATTGAGAAATAACGAAGAATGTAAGATTAGCAAATAACTTCAATTGTTTAATATCAGCATATTTGTGTGTATTGCATTTTTTAAAATTCAAACTTGGACGTCGTTGCTATTTGGATATTAATTGATTAAATAATCGATTGTTTAGTAGCATGTCATTTGACCTAATCATAAAGCTTATTAAATCCTATAATCACATTTCATTTTAATATAACACATGCTTGTACATTCAATATTATAAGTAGTTGTTAGTTGAATAGATTAAAATGTAGTTATATAATTACAGATAAGTAGGATGAGAATATCATAGAAGCAGTCAGTCTGTATTGTAAATAAGCTATGATATATATATGCATTCAAAGACATAGCAGCCATTCATGGTTCAATTAGTGCATAAAGACTTGAATATAGACACAAATCTCAAATATCAATGACTAAGATATATTGTTTGGTCGAATCGCATTTTACCAACTGTTTGTTCGATTATGGTTCGTGAACACAGATTTATTTTTTTGTCTTGTTAGCTAGGAATTTCAATTTTCAATAAAATAAATATTAACGCTAAATAAATATATATATACCTGACCCACTTAATTCGGTTTCTCCCTCATTATGTAAATCATGATCAAAGCATATTCAGAATAACCAGACACATGACTTCAACTACAAAGCCTTCCTTGGAAATTACTAGATCAATCTTGTTGTCAGTTGTTTAGTTATTGAAAATACAGGAATATTATGTAGTGTCCTATGAAATCGTAATCGAAATGAATTACCATATACTGGCTGAGAAGAAGAGAAACCAAATTAAATGGGCCTGGCTAGATACTTTTTTCCCAAACCCCCCAACATTCATAAATATAGTATCTAGCAACAAGCATAAAAGCGCAGGTTAATTGGTAACGGTAAAGTACTGCATATAGATATGCACAAGCTACTTATTTAATGAAACTCCGGTGATCCTATGTTGGGGAGTTCTCCACTTTGAACGAAGATGATCATTTTTCCTTCAATAACAGCAGCTGCTAAACTAGCCGCTCAAAATACAATTATACTGTACCAACAATTTAAAAACATGTAAAATGTAAAAAAAAAAAAAAAAGGAAAAAATAATGTTATTGATAAGTGAGATTAAACAAAAATGTTTTATCTGAATCAATCATTATGAATATAAAACCAGGTTTTTTTTATTAACATATACATTTCAGTGTGTATCATACCTGCAGTAGATTGTTTTCTATGAAAGAAAGCGAAGAAGTATTAAGATGACTGTAGAAATCTTTTTGACATGTGAAATTGCATTATATGACAATGAACCTAGCGTCAAAGCATAAGCGGCCTACCTGGAGCTCCAGCACGGAGATTACGACTAGGTTCATTCGTTCTGCCCAGCGTCCTACCAAGGTTAAGTCTGTTGGTCGCCCTGCGGCGTGAAGCAGGCTCATTATTAGTTCTTCTAGCGATTATATTGCTAGCATCATTAGTGTTTAATACTCTTACACGCTGGAATGTTACCGGATCAACAAACATATTATTAACATCTTGACCAAGTCCCCCAAGAAGACTGGTTCGCTGAGCACCACCACCTAGGTTAGATCCTAGACGATTGGTAAGCGATCTGCGTCGTGATGACAAAGCATTGTCTCCTCTCATGCCATTATCCAATATACCTCCTTGTAGTGCGGTGGTAGCTCCTGTAAATCTTGTTCCCAGACCTGTTGTCCCAAGACCATTTATTCCAATGCCAGTACCCGCTGTTCCCAAACGGGTACCTCCTAGTGTTTGTCCTAACCTGCCAACACCAAGTCTGGCCCTTGCCGTGGCTGCTCTAACGCCGTCTACTCCATTTATTCCAATGCCATTACCGGATAGGCGGAGACCATTTCCACCAAATCTTGTACCTCCAACAGCATTAGCTGTACCTCGACCACCTTGAAATGTATCGCCAGGAAAGCGGGTTCTTCCAGTGGTACCTGCAGTCAGACCAGTTCCAAAACGGCCACCAAAATCTCCGTCCGTAAATCGACTGCCTCCTGTGCCAAATCGATCGATACCTATACCATTAGTACCAAGGGCGCCTAACTGACCTCGCTGACCACCTAGCTGTAGTCCATCAAATTGATTCCCACCAAATCTTCGTCCATTCAACGCTAACGTTCCCTGTGTGTCCTGTATACCTTGAATTCCCTGGAAAAGCTGTGGGCCTGGAAATCCTCCGATTTGTGCGGCTGAAATAATTTAAACAATATGATTAAAAGTTTTCAGTCAGTTAACATTTTGGCAAATCTGTATTGTAGTCTGTTGATTTTTCTGTCTTTTTCTTTATCAGTGTTACACAAGAGGTAGATATTACGCTTTAGATGTGGTAAAATATGTGGTTTACCTTATCGCTTTGACACTTTTTACTTTGAAGGACAAATAATCAATCAATCGATGTGCTTAAAGTCTCCTTTAGTTATGACATGGTTTGGGATATTTGTAAAGTAGAAACGACACGACTAATCTTTTTTTTTTTGTTTTTTTTTGTTTTTTGTTCTCAAACTGAACAAAACTTAAACAATTCATGTAACCGACACAATGGAATTTCATCGGGGCTTCATAGAAGTACGATCTATCGACATATGTGCCTTTTTATCTTACACTGACGCATTAAAACAGTAAACACGGCGTATGTGATCTTCATTGTCAAGGAATTCACTTTGTTAGAATATGCATTTCTTTTTAATATTGCTCGAGGATAACCAAATAGGTTTAATTTTATATGGTTAACTGGTTGGGTCATAGTGTCCTCTTGTTCATGCCTTTCGTTTCATTATGTCAGAACTATTATAATTATCGTATTTTTAACACCTAATCAACAGAGGGAGTCATGAAGGCCAAGAAAAATGTTGAACAGGAAAGGTCTAAAATTAAATGTGAAAGGGAGGCAGTTAAGTTCAATGTTACACATCATTCAACTGCCATTCCCGATATGCACATAGCAATAAGGTAAACACTGCGGACCTACTGAAATGCAATGATCAAATAAATAACCCTTATGTATATTTCAAGTTACGTCTATAATGGCCACGAACTGTGATAGAGTAGTAACAGTCGCGAATACGTGATAACTGATATTTGATGAAAACCTCTTTAAAATTGCATCCGGTGACGACAGTTTGACAAAATCACATTGGTGACATGTTCGAGAAATATAGTTGGAAAAAGATAACCGAAATATTTCAAGTTTATAAATATCTGAAATACTTATGTTCAAATTATAAACAATAAAATCAAATTGGATGCAATGCACGGATACAAGGGGAAAACATTCTATTTCCTGTTCTTTTACATTAACGAAATGCTAAGACTGCACATTTGTAGCTTGGTAAGCAAAATTGAGTTTGATATTTTTATTCAAAGAAATCAGTGTTTTGTTATTCTTATAAGCTAAACTGTAATAAAAAATAAATCACCACTCACAAGAGATATTTCGACTTAAAGTGATTGAAACAACATTGGCTTTATAGGAAGTACAACCACGTGTTGCCATCATTCAAGGTTTGATATCTGAGCCTTGAGTGGAGCAGATCACAGAGTATGTAATTCCTTACGTGATGGGAAAGTGTGATGTAACCTATCGTCAATACAAGGACAAACAACTGCTACTTAGGCCTTTGTCCTGCATGATCAGAGAACATATACCAAAACTATTTACCTAAACCCGGAAATGCATCTTGCTTACGCCAGAAGATCGTTATTTTGTAATTAACCTTCAGCGTACGGTTTTTGCCGCTTCCAAACGGTACGGAGTTTTCCCTACCATATCCAATACAAAAATCAGCCGACATGTGCTTAACCTGAGGTACAGACAACAAACGATTTTTTCTGTGTAAAAATGCTCTGTTAGAGTAACTGCTTTTTCGTCAAATATGTTTAAAGTTGGCGAGTGTCAATACGTTGTTTTATTAATCTTTATTCTTTGAGATTCTGATAACGATTACCTGTGTAAAGTCTTTGACCTGGCAAAAAGGAAAATTTGGTAATATTTGTTCTTATTAATCCTACGAGCAATTCGAACAAACAACAAAAACCCTAACAAACAAACAAACAAAAAAGGAGAAAAAGAAGGTAACATCTTGAGGGTGAGACTGGTTAAAATTTGCAGTGCAAGGTCATGCGTTGGTTATATATTAAAGAGTCTTACTCCTTGGGTTGAGTAGTTTCGGAAGCATTACCGCGGTAAACACAGATCTGAAAAACGTTAGAATTGTATGTCAGGAGCCAATAGACTCACTATACACCTAATCCTCACGCAGGAAGATACGAGAATGCTATATTTGTCAGACTTGACATTTGACCTATTTATATAAGCGTTATTCTTGCAAAAGATATCTTTATTATGACGGTTTTATTTATCTGAATTCCTTTCTAAACATACAACAACGATATAATGATTTATGGATTAGTATTCCAAACTTTGAACTTTCCGTGACCTTAAGCTTGACTTTTCAAACTGATTTCGCTCTACTGTCTGATTTAAAGAACAACAAGAAATACCAAAATGTCAACATAATCCAAACTCAATTTCAGTTAAACTAGGATAAAAAGTGCACAAAAGAAAGATAAGTACAAGGAGAATGAGATCAGGTGTTCCGAAGAGCAAGCATTTTCTGCTTCATCGACGACATCTTCCGTGTGAAACTTAGTCATTTCAAGTTAGTAATGTCACAATTAGGCCAAGGTATACAACAATTGAACCAACAGGCAAACTAACGAACATCAAACACATCCAGCTTCATATCGCACAAAAAAATATTTCTCAACGAGATCACTATGGCAACTGTAAAACTCCCCGATAATTTTCATTAATCGGCATCCTCTGAAACCCGGTTTGATGTTGCTATCAAGAAATGAAACATTCATAACAGGAAAACTGAAATCATTACGCTTATAATACAGCTTCGTGGATTTCCAATTCTGGTGGGTATATACAGATGACGTGGTCAACAAATTTCTTTTCATTTAAAGACGCTTGCCCTTCCGGGAACACCTGGTCTTATTCTCCTGGTACGTTTTCAGGAACCCTGGTGTTAATCTTTCTCTTAATATATTTTGTACTAGTTTTATTGATTTTTTGTTTGGATTATGATTATGTTCATTTGTTGGTATTTTATCGTTGTTCCTGAACCTGTATATGTGTGTGCTACTATGGTGTTGAGAGACGGTACGACAGAATCCAAAAATTACCAACTCAAATATTATATTCTAAATAGGTTTAAACGTTTTAATTGACATTGTGCTAGCATAAAATCGTATCCTAATTCGGAAAGAATATCAATAAATGTTTATCATTATAAATAAGACATTTTTTACCCTTTGGTCTAAAAATATCTTTATCGGTGACAATTGGATATTGAATATTAATTTGTATCACGAATATTCGGGTATCCTCTAAAAAGCTCCATCATTGGATATTGAATATCATGTTGTACCATGAATGTTCAAGTATCCTCTAAAAAGCTCGATATGATGTCATTCCATTTACAAAATGCTTTATCTTTATTATGTGTGTGCTATTCTCATCAATATACCAAATAGATAAAGGAAAACGACACTCTTATTTTCAAATTACCAGGGACCTTATGAACCTGTAGTAAATATTGCATAATTCCTCATATAAAATAATATTCGCTAGCAGACAATGAGAGAAACATTGGCATCAGTAAAAAAGGTCAAGGTCCATACTACATAATTTATTTATAATGTAACAATAAGTTAAAGTAGGAAAAGGAAGTAAAATATCCAAAAAGAAGAAACAGCGAATGGATGTGTGAGATGGGGAATTAACGGTGGTGTGACTTCTCAATACGAACATTAAGAGAATAAAAAAAGCAAAAATAAAAAAATCACTTTTTGACGATTTTAAATTAAGAGAGCATGCCAGATACTGTAAAGCTCTAAAACTGAAGTTTAAAAATTTATCAGCTTATTTGTCGTCCATTCTTACAAATAGGTGTGCGCAAGTTCGAATTGTTGTCCCATAGACGATTTGTTTCTCATATCGTACTTCCTTACATGTAAGTAACAGGTCATTTTGAATGAGGAAGGTGATATAAACGTCACACTAAGTCACACATGAACATTTCACTAGTTATGTTATATAAACCTATATGAATTTTATATCATTGCTCATCCTATAAACTCACATAAACGTCAATTTCTCAACGAAGACAAACTGTACCGAATTTTCTGTGCTGTAGTTACTAAGTGGAGATCCTATCTATTGATTTTAGAAGATTTATGCTTAAATAAATGACTTTGTATAATACGTGTAGTATTATCTACTTCATAATTCCTTGTGTGTTATATTTCTTAATACCCTTTGTGTTCAACAAGACAATTTTATAGTTCGGTGTCACTGACGTCTGATTAACTAGACGACGTCATTATAATTAGTGACGACGGGATGGGGAGGAACAGGATGAGCATTATACCCAGCTGTGTCTCTACATCAGAGGATAGGCATCGTTAATAGCTATTTGTTATGTATTAAACTTAATTGCTAGTTCATGTCTGGCCGACTGCTTGATGAATGAGTGTTTCGATATTGCTCCGGCTGGATGGTAAATAAATGTATGTTGTCGTGTGTGTATCGTTAAACAATGAAATTTTGGCAAATAGTGCATGTACAATATATCTTAATATTGATATCCCATAACAAGATGGTATTGACAGGAGGTTTGTTCTGAAAAATATCCAACGAGTTATTATCAAATAAAGGCGACGACGCGAGATGGGGCCGTAGTACCGCAAAAAGCTGAGCTTGTGTAACAAGTAAATTACCTTTTGTCTCGGCGGTAATATCCTGTTTCTAACCAGGGGCGTATTTTATGGGGAAAAAAACAAGTATGAATAATTCTTAAATTTCCCTGTGGTTTCTCTACCAAAGACTGTTATAAAACCAAGTCAACGAGAACAATACATTAACATATATAAGGGAAATTCTACTGAAAGCATACAATTAAGTAATATATACTCACCCGATTGATGATGTCCAAGAATTATTCCAATTAATGTTATCACGAAAACTTTATAACTTGAATTTAACATCTTACAGGTTGGATCGGCGCTGGCCGCTGGCTGCCTGTAAAACACAAAGTAGAGTATAAGACAATGTCGGGACATATGGCAACGATTGATACAACGCTGTCTTTGTAACAGAAACTTAACCATTAATTAATAATACATATTATCAAATCGAACATCACATTTCCAAACGTTTCATTGAAAAACACAATAGTACAAACCAGACAGAAAACATTTAGCGTAAATTTAAAAGCTAACCAAGATGGTCAGGGAGGCGCTTGTAACCTATCTCCTGTAGTCTGTACAGTGATGTTCGGTGTTTCCGCTACTGAACCAACCACATGTCAAACATTTTCTATGATTTGATGTAAAACATTGTACATATGACGGTACACATACCACGACTGTTTGTCGTATATCACTGACCTTTACTTGGTGATCACCTCTGTTTGCCAAGCACTGTCGTATACGAATAGACAGGCTGATTTTCAAAATCTGTGTGTAAACAGTAAGATGGACAGTTCTAGATACATCATCATTGTTTACTCCGATGCGTTTGTAATCAAGTACTTACAAATTTATGCTAGTGCATACTTATAAAAACAGTGATATACCTTTGAACTCCTTCAGTCTATAGTCAGCAGATTTACTGTGTATCAAAATAACGACAGGTTAAACTTTGTTCAGTCGTAAGTACGTACATTGAAAAAAGTAGTTATGAAAGTATTTTTAGGCATTACCTGTGTCCAATCTACAATCTATTTTATGCGTCCTTTTCAACTTTATAGTTCAAAACAATGGGTCCAAAAATGTAAAACAGAAGTATTTCCAGAAAGTCTGTGTGTACAGGACTCAGGACTATAGATCAATTTATTTTATTTGGAAGAATTTGTTAGGAACATTAAATAGTGTTCACTGACCCATGTGACTCTAAGAAATTCTATCATTAGAAGAAAAAAATAACAAATGCATTAATTTAACTTTTCTTTCCCTTTACGGAGCTTTCTATATAAAAAAATAATACTATAAATGCTTTTCCCGAACGGAAATTCCATATCTTGCTTGCTGAAAATCAACATTTGTTGATCTAACGAAGGGCTAAAACCAGCTAAGGTGACCAGCTTCCATGTTTCGGAGCTGATCATACTTTATCTCAAATGTCTTTAACATTTACCTTATGTAAACTATCACGATTAAAAGTACTCTGAAAAAAAACTCGGGATGGCAAGATCATGTACTGAGTCAAAGCTTATAAATGATTTATTGACGTCACCCCATAGAAAAGGGCCACGTCGTTGACACAAACACTAACATAAAATTCTTGTAAAGTAAGTTACGAAATATTCCAATTAAGGAAGTGTGTTAAAATGTATATCTTATTGTAATCTTCCATTATATAAATCATATTGTCTGTATATAGGGTAAAAGCTGTGTAGATTTAACATGAACTTCAGTATACTATCATTATATAGTGGTCTTCCGCTGAGACAACGAGAGACTACGGATCGGTAAGGGGCTGGGTGGGATTGAGATGTCGCGAATTGTTCAGAAGGTGCTGTCTTGTTACACAATAATGATGGCAGATAAAAAGTAACGTCAATTTGAAAGCATAATCTTGGTATTAAAACTTAAGGAAGATAGATTAGAATAGCACGTGAGTACAACTTAAATTTGTAGCCGATTGTTTAGGAGCGAGTTGGGATTGATTGATTTTTATCACATTTTACACACGTGCTTGACGTTAATTTTGGAATTAACAAATATTGATCATTATGAAAGACTCGTTTTATGTGACAAATGCAATTACTTGTCCGGAATTTTACATTTATTGCGATCAATTTGGATTTTTCTCAATTTCATTTTAAATTTCAACACTATAGATTCATGACATCACTGACGAGTCCTGAAGACAGCTTTATGAATAAGCTATTTAATCCTGTGGCAATACTTTTTCTGCTTCTAAATATGTATTGAAAAATAATATTCAATTGTGTTTTTATTCTAAATTTTAGGCTTATATCGGATGCTTAACCGAGGACCTTCGGAAGGTGAGAGAAGTGTATTACTAAGCCTCCAGTTTAGTGGAAATTGTACTAACCGTGAAATATCTGAAGAGTAACACGTACCGATACACTTGACGTTTTCATAGAAATAAAAAAAATGACGACATGTATTCATTTATGGAGTAAGTTCAACTCCACATTTATTTTTAAATTTTCTCTCGTTCGATTTTATCAATTTTCATTTTTCGTCTTTTAGATTACCACTTATAGATATCAAAAACGAAAACTAATCGTCCTCTAGATTTTTCTCGTTTTCCCCCTAGTACTACTGACGAGTTCTAGGCCCCTAGTATCACTAACGAGGTCTAGGCTCCTAGTATCACTGACGAGTTCTATGACCTTAGTACCACTGGTGAGTTCTAGGCCCCTACTATCGCTAACGAGTTCTATGCCCCTAGTATCACGGACGAGTTCTAGGCCCCTAATGTCACTGACGAGTTCTAGACTCCTAGTATCACTGACGAGTCCAATGTCCCTAGTATCACTGACGAGTCCTATGCCTCTAACATCACTGACGAGTTCGAGGCTCCTAGTATCACTGACGAGTTCTAGGCCCCTAATATCACTGACCTGTTCTAGGCCCCTAGTATCACTGACGAGTTCTAGTATCACTGACGAGTTCTAGGTCTCTAGTATCACTGACGAGTTGTAGGCCCCTAGTATCACTGACGAGTTCTACACCCCTAGTATCACTAACGAGTTATAGGCCCCTAGTATCACTGACGAGTTCTATGACCTTAGTATCACTGACCAGTTCTAGACCCCTAGTATCACTGGTGAGTTCTAGGCCCCTAGTATCACTGAAGAGTTCTATGCCCCTAGTATCACTGACCAGTTCTAGGCCCTTTGTATCACTGGCGAGTTCTAGGTCCCTAGTATCACTGGCGAGTTCTAGGACCCTAGGTATCATTGACGAGTTCTAGGCCCAAAGTATCACTGACGAGTTGTAGACCCCTAGTATCACTGACAAGTCTAGGCCCCTAGTATCACTGACGAGTTCTAGGCCCCTAGTATCACTGACGAGTCTAGGCCCCTAGTATCACTGACCAGTTGTAGACCCCTAGTATCACTGACGAGTTGTAGGACCCTAAGTATCACCGACGAGTTCTAAGCCCCTAGTACTACTGACGAGTTCTAGGCCCCTAGTATCACTGACGAGATCTAGGCCCTTTGTATCACTGACGAGTTCTAGGCCCCTAGTATCACTGACGAGTTGTAGACCCCTAGTATCACTGACGAGTTCTAGGACCCTAGGTATCACCGACGAGTTCTAGGCCCCTAGTATCACTGACGAGTTCTAGGCCCCTAGTATCACTGACGAGTTCTATGACCTTAGTATCACTGACGAGTACCAGAAGGGAATGGCTAAACAACTGCATGATGCAGTTTGATTAATTAAAAGGAATGTATGTGTTTATTTAAATATACACATTTTATCCCAGCGTGGTATTTACTTTTATGTCTTTAGCATAATCACTTATCAATTAACATCAGTTCATGCGAAAGCGTAAAATAATAAGGGTAAAAATCTCTTTAGAACTCAGTGTTTTAGGGAAAATATTAACGTCCATTTAATGGAGTCCTATTACATGCCATTATTGAGGTTAAAAGTTTACTGTGAGGTACAGATCAAACGTTTGCTCTAGATATGGATATAATCTCCAGTCGGACGAGTCCACTTTGGATACTAATGATAAGGACAATGTCATGTTAGGTCTTCATAATTGTTATAGTAAGCATGAAAGGTTCATGTCTGCATGTTGGTGAGATAGTAACAAAGACAAGGGACATAATTTATGGCAAACGACACATCAAAGTAGTGTTACACCAACAGTGTCTTCTTCTTATCTATTTACTTTGCCAAGTTTTTACATTCAGTTTCATCTCTAAATCACTTACAAAAAACTACAGTCGAATTCTTAAATACACTGTAATTAATAACTTAAGACATTGTTTATATGTTCGCTAAATAACTACAGATATCTGACAACTAAAAAGCCAGGTCTGTAGCAAGAAATTATTGTAACAAAAAAGCAAGTGATTAACGTACACATTATAATGGAATACAAGATAAAAAGAAATTTCATATATCACTATCATAAATTTTGAAAAATCTTCATAATAAGATGTTGAAAGCAATTGTTTTTTCTTATTTATATGCATTTGTTCTTTCTTTTCTTGTATAATTATTTTCCAGCCTTTCTACATTACAGAAACAATTTCTTTGCCTTGATACAATCTTAAAGAGTTTATAAAACTACGTTAATGACAGTACAATGATCTATGTTCACGATGGTCGTTAAATCCTTGTTTTCTTATAAGAAAACAACCACTGTGTAATCTACCGTGTGACAACATTGTGTATAAACTACATCAAATATACACAAAATATTACAGAGATTGATGTCAGTTATTGTCACTTCGGACAGCTTCCTATTAACACGAATCGTTTGATCCCAGGAATGATAACTGTTTTGTCTCCATTTGTAGCTTTTTCCCAGCTTAAATTGCCCATTTACACGTGGATCACTAGCCCGGGCCCCCGGGGTATCCATCCCATGTGTGTCGCTGTTGTTCGAACCCTTGTAACAGACGCATCACAACGCTGTCAATATATCACAGAAAACTGAACTGGCTGTAACTGTCAATCAGACAGGTGATATAATACCGGCTAAGGTGCGATTTACACCACCGCCAGGTAGCGCTTTGTGCACCTGTACAAAAACTTTACCTGTTAATTGTTTTATGAATGAAAGCGGGCGGTCAAAGATACTCAGGTTGTCGTAATTCTATAATATCTACCCCCAAAACAACTACAATATCAGTCTATTAAAAATAAAAGTATGCTCACAGGTTAGACACTGGCATAACTTGACACAGCAGTGTTAAGTAACTGTATTAAATAATTAGTATCAAAATTGACGAAATGTGCTAATTAAAATCAAAGCATTACTGCATGGT